CCCACTGGTGGCCCTCCTTCTCCAAGCAGTGCCACTAGCATTCAACTGGTGCTCTGTTAATCTGTCCACATGCAATGCTGTAGGGCGCCTGGCTCAGTACCAGCAGGCATTCATGCCTCACAGTCTGGAGGCAGGTTTCATGGCAGGTGTGGTGTCTGGTGAGTATGTAGTCCACGATTCCTAGAGGTCTGGCTTTCTGCTCTCCTCACATGGTGGGTGGAATTGGGGAGCTCTCTGGGGTCCATTTGTAAGAACTCAACCCACTTGGTTCCATGGTCATGCTACAATTAGTCCTAACAGCACAACATCTAACAATGAATTGGGGGTAGGGGACACAAACTCCAGTCTATAGCATGTGCTATGCTAATGATGGACTTAGAGTCACATGGGACCAAAGGATAGAAGGACAAGGACAAGTAAAGTCCCCAAAATGAGTCCTGCTGATATCTCCTCTGAAATCAAAGAGGTCCCCTCTCTCTCTCTCTCTCTCTCATGTGTGTGTGTGTGTGTGTGTGTGTGTGTGTGCGCGTTTCACAAGTCATAAGATCACACACACCTCTGACTCAGAGTCACGTGATTAAGGTACAGAGGGGAGACAGACACTCATCTATGACTCGGCGGTGGGGGGAGGGGTCTGTAGGAGAAGAATAGACAGGCAGTGGAGTAGGGGGACAGCCATGTCCTCAGACAGGGCTACAAGTGGATGGGACTCACAAGAATGCAATGTGTCAAATGGAAAAGATGATGACATCTGAGGACCCAGGCAGGCTGAATGGGACAGAAGGAAGTCAAGTGACTGAGCCTGGCTAACCAGAGAATGCACAGCTCACTAAAGGAAGACGGTTTTGTCCCGGGGACACACTGAAGAGCGACGGGCATTGGAGGGGAGCCAGAGAAGGACCACCCAAGTGAGATGGAGACGCTCTTAGACAGATGTGCTGGATGTGCAACTCTGCCGAGCCGGCCCAGAAGAGTCTCTAACGGTCTGTAGATGGACTGTGTGTCCGATTCTCCCCAGCCCTGCTCCAAACTGCTTCTATGATTATGTACAATTATAATAAGCCCTGCCAGGGCAGGAGGATGTGAGGAGAAAGCTAATTCACAAGGCTGTCTCAGTGTGATATTCTTGCTGCTATGGAGTTACACAGAACACCGGGTTCCCTCGGAATGCCTCCCACCTAAATGCCAGCTCCCCAGTTCTGGGGGCGGGGGTGCTCCAATGAACCTGGGGTTCGTGTGTGGCCTTTGTTTCTTCCTGTTGACTAATGAATAATAAACGGTACCTTTAAGAAGTGAAGCAAATGGCTGAGTGGCAAGGGAGGGCTGGGTATGATAAGTGATGAGCAACCCTGCCTCTCCACCCCTCCCCCACCATGTCCCTCCAAGCTGGGTCAAGCACCCACACTAAGCTGCTTTATTCTCCTCATGGGAGGTGGGAGAACCTACGAGCTCTCAGGAAATATGTGCACAAATCAAAGGCCTGTTGGTTTGAGGGTCAGGCCACAGGGCCACAACTCCCTCTGTTTCTGGCATTGGGGGTGAGGGTGTTGAGGGACACGCTCAGTGTAGACCTTGCAGGTATCACATGTTCCCAAGGGAAGCATGCCCTTCACAGAGGGCAGGGTCCTGGCTTCAGAGCACCCCTGTGTCAACTGTATCCAGGCTGGGCTCCTGACACTTCAAACTCCCATGTCATCTGTATGGGACCAGAGAAAACCCGTCAGGAAACAGATGAAGTGCCTGATGGTCAGAACCTCTTCACTGATAAGGATGTCATCTCACTGACTGCCTGCTTTATCCCTTGCTCTGCAGCAGGCTCTGGCTGGAGGGTGGGGGGACCAGGCAAACACCATCCCTGCATCCATAAACTATCCAGTGGGAACATGGAATGCCAGCGGGCCAGCATGCTAATTCAATAAAGTGTGGCATGGGTTCCAGCAAGGGACTGAGGGATGCTGTAGAGGCAATATGTCTCCCGAGAGGCAGCTGCAACTGAGGGAGGCTTTTGCGTGGATATGGATATATTCCTCAAAGGCCCACACTTTGAGGCTTGGTTCTCAAAATGGTGCTATTGGGAGATGGTGGAATCTGCAGGAGGTAGGGTCTTAGGTTATGTCTCCAAAGGGGATTTGGGACTCCAGCAGAACGCTCACTCTCTGCTTCCTGGCACACGGCGTAGCTTGTTCTCTCCACGGCTTGCTCCTGCCTCAACAAGCTGCTGTCCCCGGGTACCTAAAGGTATGAGATTGCCTGATCTTGGATAGGAGCCTTCAGAACAACAAAGAAAATAAACTTTCTCTCTTTATAAATATATTGTCTCAGTATTTCATTGTAGTGACAGAAAGCCAACTAAAGCAAGGAGCAAGGGAGAGGGGCCATGCCTAGAAGCAACATTTCTAATGCCTTCATCCGGGAGAGGAGCCCAGAAAGGAGGCCTGAAGCAAACTCTCAAGAGTTATAGCACTGGGATCCTCAGCCCACTTTGTGGTGGGATGTAAGGCATCAAAGCAAACACCACTTTTGTAATGAGATGGTTTTATTACCAATCCATTCCCTAAAGTAAGTGAAGCCTGAAGGCTTAAAACAAAATACTTGCAAGTTGATTATAATGCAGCCACGTAAAACTGCACCACATTTTCTAAACACTCTGCACGTTCAGTTGATTCCACACATCGAACGCAGGCTAGAGATATGTGGCGTGGCATTCTGGCACAGTGTGGGGCAATGACATCAAGCGGCGCTCTGGACTGGGGACTTGAATATAAGGAGGACATAAGAAGATGCTGCAATGCATCGTTGCCAGGGCTTCTGGACATGGGCATTCGGTAATTACCAAACAACAGTCAACATCGTTGCCAGGCCTTCTGGACATGGGCATTCAGTAAATACCAAACAATAGTCAACATCGTTGCCAGGGCTTCTGGTCATGGGCATTTGGTAATTATCAAACAATAGTCAACATCGCTGTCTTGATTTGCTTTCTACACCTGTGGTAAACACCAGGACCAAAAGTAACTCGGGGAGGAAAGGTTTATTTCACGTTACAGCTTACAGTCCATCATGACAGGAAGTCAGAACAGCAACTCAACGCAGTCACTGAGGAGAGACTATAGGGGAACAGTCCTGACTGGCTTGCCCTCCACAACTCACTCACTTGATTTCTTAGACAGCCTGGGACCACCTGCCCAAGGTAGCACTGCCCACAATAGACTTGACCCATCCATGCCAAACATTAATGAAGAAAATGCCTACACACACGTCTACAAGCCAATCTGCTGGAGGGAATGCCTCGGGCGAGGTTCTCCCTTCCCAAGTGACTCTTGTTCGTGTGCAGTTGACACTAACCAGAACAACCGAACCCTAACCAACTTGACACCCAAACCTACCACTATTAAACCATAACTTTCTCTTACTTGCTTATCCCCAACATCACAATATAAAATACAATCCAACTTTAAAAGTCCTGCAGTCTTTAAAAGTTCAATTATTTTAAAAGTTCAGACTCTTTAAAACATCCAAAATTTTTCATTTTGGGTCACCTCACAATCAAAAACAAGTTACAGATATTCTTATTCCAAGAAGAGAGAAGCAGAGCACAGTTATAATCAAATCACAGCAAAACCACGCCTCGATGATGGTAACTCTATCAGCCACAACTGATCTTTTTAGTTTCAGCTAACTAGGGTTGGCTGTCCCAGCAAAGCAAAGGTTTCACTTCAGTGTTGCTAGTTCTCTTATTAATCATGGCTGATTCTTCCGTCCCAGCTCTCCAGCAAACACAGATTCTTAATTAAAATATTATATGAATTACCACGATAGAATCTTTGCTTCCCTCTGAAACACCACAAACCAGGTCTCTATTGTCTGCACTTCTTTCAGGATTCTCTTCCAAGGTCCCACAGAACATCCCATTAAGCTCTGAGAAGTAATGGTTTTCCCAACACCTCCACAACCCTCCCCCAAAGCAGCATTGGTTATGTCTCTCACCACAAAGGCCCACTCTCTAGTACTGGTTTAAGTCCTGCTTTGCTTTTCCATGGCTGTGATAAATACCATTCCCCAAAGCAGCTTAAGGAATGGGTTTATTTCCGCTTGCAGCGTATAGTCCATCCTGAAGAGAAGTCAGGACAGGAACCTAGGGGCAGGCGTGGAACAGAAGCCGTGGAGGAGCTCTGCTTACTGGCTTGCCTTCCACAGCTTGCTCAGCCAGTTTCCCCTCCCTCCTTCCCTCCCATTCCCTCCCCCACCACCTGTCTACCCCCATCTAGTCCCCCTCCTTCATTAAGGTGCAGGCTTCCCATGGGAGTCAACAAAGCATGGACTATCAAGATGAGGTAGGACCAGGCTCCTCCCCCTGCATCAAGGATGGGTGAGGCATCCCAGCATGGGGAATAGGTTCCCAAAAGCCAACTCATGCACCAGGGACATGTCCTTATCCCATTGCTAGGGGCTCCACAAACAGACCAAGCTACACAACTTCATCATGGTGTCATGCAGAGGGCCTAGGTCAGTTCCATGCTGGCTCCCCAGCTGTCAGTGCAGAGTCTGTGAGCTCCCACTTGCTCAGGTCAGCTGTCTCTGTGGGTTCCTCATCATGATCTCCACCCCGTCAGCCAGTTTTCTTACAGAACCCAGGGCCACCTGCACAAGGTGATACCTTCACTTACCCTAGTGACAGACTGCAACCTGCAAGCCAAAATAAACCCTCTCTTCCCCGAGTCAGTTTTAGTCATGGTGTCTATCACGGCAACAGACAGCAAAATAGAACAATCTGGCACAGTTTCATGCTTGATCATTCAGCTGCCCATCTCTTGCTGGACCCCTTATCCTTTCTTTTAGTACTGGGGGTTGATTACAGGGCTTCCCTGCATGCTGGAAGATTAGAATGACAATAGAAATATGGCAGTAAGGGTTTTGCTCATAGTTTCAGATAGATATGAAGGCCATATTGGGAACAGCACTCAGGGTCATTCATGCTACACCATGACAAAGAATCTGGATGGATTTCAGCCATGTCTTTAATTGAAGTTGAATTCAAAAGTCATGGATTAATTTATCTGGTAAAGAAAATTTCAAGCCAGCACAGCACACAGGCTGTGTGTGGCATGGTTATCACTGGCTGTTTCTAACCAGATTTACAATGAGAACCACTGAGAATAAAGAGTAGATGTCTTAGGCTTTTTATTGCTATAAGAAACACCATGACCACAGTAACTCATACAAAGAAAAACTTTGAAGGAGGAGGAAGGCTTGCTTACAGTTTCAGAGGTTCAGTCCATTGTCACCATGGCAGAGAGCACAGTGGCCTGCAGGCAGATGTGGTGCCGGAGCTCAGAGCCCTACATTTTGACTCAGAGGCAACAGGAAGTTGACTGTCTGCTACACTGAATGAACCTTGAGATGAGACCTCAAAGCCTGCCTCCTACAGTGACATACTTACTCCAACAAGGTCACACCTACTCCACCAAGGCCACACCCTCTTTGGGAGTTGTTTTCTTTCGAGTCACCACCATAAAGCAGAAGGATTTGTAAAACATTCAGCAAAGGTCTGAATGCAGTTAAAGTAGTGAGCCAAGTGAACACCACAAGCCAAGCCATGGTTATTGTTAAAGACAAATTGAGCTCTTTGCCCTGGTACAAGAGCAAACCTCAAGGCAAATAGCTCACCTAGAAGGCAGAAAAACTCATTTGAAAGACTTTCATTTGAAATGAGAGGGTCTCTGAAAGAATGCCTAAAGGGCCACTCAGGAAATGCTTCCCCAGGCTTCTGGGGTATGTATGCAGAATCCACTGCCACCATCATCTTTGGAGCCCTGGCAATCTCCTGGGTTGGTAACAAGAACTGGTGTTGTCATGTGGTGCTGGGTTTTCAAGCACAAAGAATGCAAGTACTGTAGAGCTTTGCTATGAGATTCCAGAGAAAAGCCGAAGGCCGGGAAATGTATAGCACAGTCGGGGTTCCCTACACGGACCCTCCTGAGTAGGCTGTAAATGTGAAGCCCAAGTTTCATTGGCGACTCCAGGAGTAGGTGACAGACGTATGCTGATAAAACATATAGGCACAATTGGATGTGGCCCCAAAAGGAACCCACATGCGCTACAGGCAGCTGGAGGGGCTACGCCAGCCCCTTGGAGTTGATTGATATCATCACATGCCCCACAGGCCAGACACGGAACCATGTAATTTAGTGTCTTCCCTATTTGGCTTGGGTCGAATCTCTCCTCACTGGTCTCCCATTCCTCCCGTGTCTCTATAGTGAAAGTAGATAGTCTGATTATTTTTGTAGAGGTTCACAGTGAAGAATTTGCCTCAAGTCTCAGAAGAAATGTTAAATTTTTGAAGTGTTGGAGCTATTGTGACTATGGGGACTTTTGAAATTGGACTCATAACGTCTCAGCGCGTGGCCAGGTGAATCAGTTACTTTGCTATTGCTGTGGCAAAACACCACGACCAGGGCACCTTATAGAAGAACAACCTTATTTGTGTTTACGGCTCCAGAGGGTGAGTGTCTCTGATGATTGAGTGAAGTTATGGCGGCAGGAGCAGAAAGCCTAGGGCTCACATCTTGAACTACAAACACAGTTCAAGCCACCTGCAGTGACACACTTTCTCTAGAAAGGTCTGTGCTCTTTCTTAGCATAGCTGAAACTGCCTCTTTTACCTAGGGCCCTCAGAAGCATCCCTGCTTGCAGAAGCTCTCCCCTCCAGGAAAGCATCCATCTCTTCAGCCTTCTGGTAGTTTAGAATCTTTTCCCATCACATGTAAGGCCCAGGGTGCCCCTCACCATCGTGCATCTCTAGAGAAGGACAGAGACCATTCTGACCCACAACTTCAAGTGATTGATTTCCTTCCGCTGGGCCCTGAGATCGGCTCAAATAGCATAGTTCTGTGCTGCTGAGATCTGGGGCTCCCCAGCCTGCTCTGTTGGGACAGACAAGCGTCTCGGGAACAGTGATTAGCTGGAACAATACAATAATCAGAAAATGTCACTTGAGGATCCGTGTTCACAAGATTGCAAAGAGACAAGCGGACTCAGGGAAGTTGCTGATGTCCTCTCAGACCAGCACACAGCACAGCCACTGCAAAAGAAGAGACGAAATCAGTGCACAGCCTCCAGGGAGCATGTGGGCTGTGGCCACAGATGTCCTCCTGCCCAGTATGTCACCACTTGCCACAGCTCCATTCTCCAGCCAGTGCCATGCTCACTTACAGGAAGCTCTTAACAAAGTCACTCAGAGCACTACAGAAACTGTGACTTAGAGAAAAGGCTCTATACCCAAAAGTGGGTGTGTCGAGGGTACAATGGGTCCCGTCTATCTGCAAGTCCCACATCCATAATTCAAAGGCAGATTAAAACTCCTCAGAAAAAGAATTTCTTCCTTGTCATTGACTCCCTAACCAATGCAGTGAAACAGTTCTTTACTCAGCATCATCAACAGTCCAGAGAGGATGTAGAGTGTGCAAGAGGATGGGTATAGGTCCTATGTAAACACCATACCATTTTATACAAAGGTCTGATGCATCCAGGTATCTTAGGAGGGTTCTGAATCCAGATGCCCATCAAGAACAATTATGTTCATAAACATATGTATCTTTACAAATATACATATAATCCTTGTATATATATTCCTGTATTCTTGTGTCTATATTTTACATATATGTATATATTCCTACATTTATATCTATATTTCATATATAATCATATGCATTCCAATATATGTGGATATTCCTGCATTTATATCTGTATTTTATACGTGTGTGCATATATGTCCTTATATGTATCTGTGTATACTTCTACATGAACACTTCATTTTAGGTCCTACACTAGTCTCCAGATGTCTACAGGAATTACATATATGTTACAAAGAAAGCTTTTTCTTGATAGTATGAGGTTTTCAATACCATTTCCATTCACAAGAAGAATGAAAAGCAGTTGGACTCATACAACATGGTAGGATGGTAATAACCGCACCCTCTAACATGGCAGGAGGGTAATAACCCCACCCTCTAACATGACAGGAGGGTAATAACCCCACCCTCTAACATGGCAGGAGGGTAATAACCCCACCCTCTAACATGGCAGGAGGGTAATAACCCCACCCTCTAACATGGCAGGAAGGTAATAACCCACCCTCTAACATGGCAGGAGGAGAATGATACAATCTTCTAGCTCTGCCACCCCAGAAGCATGTCAGAGGCCAATGCTGCCTCATAACTTGGACCCTTGAGCCATGTCTACACTTCCTGTTCCACCTGGCCCTCTACAGCAGCCAGAGACAGCCTCCCTTATCCAGAGTGCCCCCTACAGGCTGTGACTGCAGCCTCTCTCATCCAGAGTGCCCCCTACAGGCCGCGACTGCAGCCTCCCTTATCCAGAGTGCCCCCTGCAGGCCGTGGCTGCAGCCTCCCTTATCCAGAGTGCCCCCTACAGGCCGCGACTGCAGCCTCCCTTATCCAGAGTGCCCCCTACAGGCCGCGACTGCAGCCTCCCTTATCCAGAGTGCCCCCTGCAGGCCGTGGCTGGCTCTCTCTCCCTAAAGCATTTGTGACTTAGGCACAGTAGGGACACTCGTTTATTTTGTACCTTCATTCTACCTTGTTGGAGACTCAGTTCTGGCTTCCAGTCATGTCAACTCAAGAAGTCCAGCCCCTTAAATTATGTCTACCTCCCCCCACCAGACACACATGGGTATACAAGCTCATCCACATTAGCGAGGGTTTGCCTCTTTCAAATGATTTTAGATAAATAAAGGGATGAAAGAGTCAAGAGGGAGGCACTTAATTAATTATATTAATTGATTAGAATGCCTAACAGACTTCTTAAGAGACTATCCCATTCCTTCTCCTCACGCCCACCACAGAACCTTCAGGGTTTCCATGGCAATAAGCTAGTTGGTAGGAATAAACACAGCCTAGCACCTATGCTGTCCAGGGGTTTCAAAGTTCTGCATACAAGGAGTTCCTCAAGCCATGGGTCATTTACCTCAGCCAAGGAGAGCTGGACAATGCCGTTCTGGTTCTTGTCCAAAAGCCTGAAAAGTTCTGAAACACCAAAGGAAGGAAGGAAGCTGGTCAGGTCTGTTTCTGGGTTTTGGAACATCAGAAAACTGTCTCTGGCCAACCCACAGGAAGCTGCAACTCCCCTTTCCCTCCACCCCTCCCCTCCAAATGTCATCTAATCCCAGGGGCCAGCAGTCAGGGAGAGTTTTCGTGGCTGCAGGTGTCTCCCAGACTGAATGGACAAACCAATTCGTCAGCAGAAATGGTTCCTCTGGCTCTTCACCTTCAGAAGCTCACGAGAAACTGGCAGTTCTTTGACAAGTGGGTTGTGGATAGTCCAGTCCCTCAACTCCATCTCTGGCCAACTGATTTTGCCCCTAAGGCTTTCAACATTGCACCTCCCAATGGAAGGACCGTCCCCTCCCTTTGAAAGATAGTGTACTGATTATAAGATAACAGCACCCTGAAGCCCAAGGAAGGAATACAGCTGCTGCCTTCTAGAGGAAGCCCACCCTCTTCCTGGAAGGTGGCATACAAATGACTTAAATGACTCCCATGGTGGCATACAAATGAATCAACACTAAGAGCTCCTAACACAGGACCTTGAGAGTCAATGCCTTGGCCTAGTGACTTTGTATAGCTCAATAATTAGGATATCATTCTCCAGGTCTCCAAGGAAAAGCAACCTTGGCCCTTTGGTGTGATCATCCCAGACATCCGTAACCCCTATAGCGTTTACCTCCCTTCCCTGCTGGGTATCACAGTTATAAAAATCCCATCCATTTTCCTTAGTCCCCCAGCTCCAAAGGCACTGTCAGGCCTCTCGCCTCCTGGCCTGGCCCCTCCCATGCTCTGTGTCTCCGAAGAAAAGGTTGAAGAAAACTGAGGCTTACTGAACAGGCTCTCCAGGCGGATCACACAAGCCACAAAGCCATCAAAGTCAATGCCAAGCTTGCTGCTTGCATACCTCATGGCAATAATCTCCTGCACCTGGTTGTTGAGAGTGAACCCTGATGACAGAGAGAGACTGTGTCTTAGCATCTTCCTGGTAAGCTTCAAGGTGCTGGCATCACATCCCGGGGCCCTCCATGATTATGTATAAATCTGTACATCAGGACTACTCTGCCTCTCCTGGGGAGGTCCAGGAGATGCTCTTCCAAGTCTCTCCACTCTTAGAGATGTCTCACCAGCTCTTTCCCTGGTCAAATGCCAGCTGGGCCCTGGGAGTGTCAGGGCTCCATAACCACAGTAAGTACAAGTGGACAGGGTAAGGGGCGTTGTGTCTGTGGTGTCTGTGACGGAGCCCCACACCTTGTAACCACTGTCACTGCCTCGGTAACAGGCAGGGTGTAGAACACAGCACCGTCCTCTCCTTCCTGGATAGGACGGATCCTCAGCAAGTCTTTGTTGTCACACTGGCATCATCCAGTGGAAGAAAGCTTCAGGGATGACCCTTAGCCCCTATCACGAGAACAACTACTTACAGTGGAAGAAAGCTTCAGGGATGATCCTTAGCCCCTATCATGAGAACAACTACTTACAGTGGAAGAAAGCTTCAGGGATGACCCTTAGCCCCTATCACGAGAACAACTACTTACAGTGGAAGAAAGCTTCAGGGATGACCCTTAGCCCCTATCATGAGAACAACTACTTACAGTGGAAGAAAGCTTCAGGGATGACCCTTAGCCCTATCACGAGAACAACTACTTACAGTGGAAGAAAGCTTCAGGGATGACCCTTAGCCCCTATCATGAGAACAACTACTTACAGTGGAAGAAAGCTTCAGGGATGACCCTTAGCCCCTATCACGAGAACAACTACTTACAGTGGAAGAAAGCTTCAGGGATGACCCTTAGCCCCTATCATGAGAACAACTGCTTACAGTGGAAGAAAGCTTCAGGGATGACCCTTAGCCCCTATCATGAGAACAACTACTTACAGTGGAAGAAAGCTTCAGGGATGACCCTTAGCCCCTATCACGAGAACAACTACTTACAGTGGAAGAAAGCTTCAGGGATGACCCTTAGCCCCTATCACGAGAACAACTACTTACAGTGGGCACATCTGGGACCTAAGACCTCTTCTACAGAGAGGGTCCTCACCTGCCTTCTTGAGAGCTGTTCTCATCTCATGGGCATCAATGGTCCCTACATGGTTGTGGTCCATTTCCTGGTAGATCTCCTGAAACCAGAGAGAAATCGTGCATGGGGAATCGAATAGCCCTGCACAACAATTTCCTCCCACTCTACTCCTCTCTTGGGAGGCCAAGGATGCACTCTAAAGAGACTGTATTGAGCCGGGCTGTGGTGGCTAACAACTTTAATCCCAGCATTCAGGAGGCAGAGGCAGGCAGATCTCTGTGAGTTCGAGGCTGGGCTGGTCCGACAGCCTCCAAAACAATACAGAGAAACCCTGTCTCATAAAACCAAAAAAGAAAAAAAGAAGAGAGAGAGAGAGAGAGAGAGAGAGAGAGAGAGAGAGAGAGAGAGAGAGAGAGAGAGAGAGAGAGAGACTGTCTTCAAAAAAGTTCCAGAACAAATAGAAATAGGGTTAAAGTTCAGTGTGGCACTTTGTCCTCTGAATAGGGCTTCCAAATTGGAGGGGCTGACATCGTATCTCTTGCTGCCATTGCCTTCTGAGTCTATTTTGAACAATGTGCCCAGGTTTACATGGCTTTGACTACAGTCTGGGAAGACTAGAGTCTAGAACAGTCCAGGGATGAGTATTATAGAGGATCAGAAGGGGGAAAGGATTCAGGACCCAGAGAGATGCCCTTCTCTCCCAAGAGAGATAGAAAAAAATAGTTACCAGATACTTGCGAACCTTCAGCCAGAGTGTCTTGAGCTCCTCAGGTCCCAGGGTTCCAGTCCCATCACTCTAAGTTTGTTAAAGACTTAGCTCTTTGTCTAATATCAGCAAACCCTGAATCACCAGTGAGTTTCATTCTCTTGTGAGCTCATGTGAGCGCCTTGAAGCCTTAGAGGACTGTGAGTGTCTGAAGCAAGCCACACGATAGAGTGATGGTGGGAAGCAAACTCCAGCGGCCAGGCGCATAGGGAAGAACACACCGGCAGCCCGAGACCTCCCAACAAACTCACTGACACCATACCCTATCACCCCGGGTGACAGAGGATGGAGCTATATGGCTTATACACCTACTTCCAGACTAAAATGTCTGTGATTAGTGCAATTTCTCATTCAAGTCATGTTAGTGTCATCAGAACGTTAAAAAAAAATATACCAGGTGCTGCAAACATGGGGTCTTCTCAAAGGCACAACAAAACCAAAAGAGGTGTGTATGCTGGAGGAGGTCATTTCCATATCTGACGTATCTTCCTTCCAAGAGTACTTACTGAGTGCTGAACTAGACATGGGGGTTTGGTTTTAAATTGCCCTAACCCTCATAAATTTTCTCACCAATCACAAAAAAAAATAAATAAACACCACTGTGTTACAGAACAAACCATCAATCCTCCCCATGTATGTTAGAAAACCAAATAGGAGTTTGCACCCAAGAATATAAAGCATTCTGTTCCTGTCTGGATCTGGAGTGACCACCAAAGGTCCAGCTGAAAGGTTCCATGCCCAGCAGGGCACTCTTGGGAGGCAGTGAAGCTTTGAAGAGATAGGTCTAGTGGACCACCACAGGTCATCAGAGGCACGCCCCTGCAGGGGATGTTGGACCCTGCCTCTTCCTCTTCCTCTCTGTCTTTTACTTCCTGGATGGCGTGAGATAAGTGGTTTGTCTCCTTTCCACCATTGTGTACTGCCTCATCATAGGTCAAAACAACCAAAACTATGAGCTCAAATTATCTCAGGTATCCCATTAAAATTGTGGAAGGCTGACTAACATTGTCATCCTTTCAGAGCATCCAGTCTCGGGCTGTATCTCTGATTAGTGCTGAATGTTGGTCACCCTCACTACAACATAAACAACCAGTCTGCACAGAGAACTGAATGTTGCCTAGACCACAGCTCACACCCTTACTGCCACACAAACAACTGTCCTTGGCAGGGTTCTGGGCTCAGAGAAATAGCACCCCGAGTCTTGGCACTTTCCATGTGCTTGCATCTCATATGACCTCCACAGGGACTGTACAAACTCAACGTTCTTATTCCATTCTTCTCTAGTAGAAGACCCCGACAGTCCAAGCATTTAGTAACTTCTCATGGCAGAATTTGAACCTTTGCTTGCTCCAAAGTCCAGATAGACCTACTGAGTCAGGGTCTCCAGAACTGAAATTGAAGCAATGGCATTTTCAAGTTTCCATGGGTGAGGGAATACTAATGTGCGTTCTAGTGCTTGAAGCATCATGCTAATGGAAGCACCATCTGCTGCAGGATTCCATGAATACACATGTCCACAACACTCAGATTTACAGAGGTAGACAATATAGTAGCAGCTGTCATGGTATGGGGGATGGGGGAATAAAGAGTGACTGCTAATACGAGAGCAGGATTTCAGTGGGGTGGGGTGGCAAAATATGTTCTAAAGCTGACGGTGATGACTACACAACTCCAAATCTAACAAAAGCCAGGAAATGAAGTGTACATCCCGACTAAGCATATTCTTACATGTGAACTACGTCTGAATAGACTTGCCATCTTCCTACGTCCTCACGGGCATTTTCACTGCACATGGAGATTTAAGCCCATGTTCAGACTCAAGAAGAAGACAGAGTCACCAAGCCAGCATGCTTTGCACCCAAAAGACATCCAGTGCCATTGGGAATGATGTGTGGATAACTACAACAGGATCTGAGTCTGGATGGAAACCAACAGGAAGCTTTGACGATAGCGATTCTGAAACCAAGGGCCTAGTCACAGCAAAGTGAAGCAAACAGTTTTCTGCGACCACAGGTTGAACTGTTAACCACACACCCGTGGAAGGACAGAAGGGCTCCAGCACCACTGGCTAGTGGCCACTTGGGGCACCGGGGCCACTAGACAGCACCACCCATCCATCAGTGATGACTTGTGCAGAGGCTGGCACACACTCCACTACCATGACTCAGCACAACCCTGCCATGTCCAAAGGAAAGTCACTCTTCTGTCCTCAATGGGATTGGAGAAGGGGTCCTGGAGTAAGTCATCATCATGAACGAGGTCCTAAGAACTGAGGAGGGCTTCCCATGCTAAAGGATTCACCTTCACCACCAGTAAATGGAGAATGGCCCCCTAGACCCACCCCAGGCAAAGCTTAAGGGAAGCTGTTGAGCCATTGGTACCCTGTACTTTCTATAGAATTTCCCTGACATACAGAATGCCCTTTCTCTATTCATCATGAAAACCCCTGTCCATTTACAACAGATTGAGTGTTTATGTCCCCCCCCCCCCCGCAATCCACCTGTTGAAATCTAATCAGGAAATGAGGCCTCTGGGTCACAGAGGGGCACCCTTCATGAATGCAATTGTGCTATTATAAAAGGAATTCCAGAGAAATCCCTTCCTGCCTTGTGAAGCTACAGCCAGGAACCAGGAGACAAGCCCTCACTAGATACATCTGCCACATCTTAGTCCTAGGTTTCCCAGCACCTCAAACTGTAGGGTATGTCTATTATTTATAAGCCCACAGTTTAAGTCTTGTTCAATAGTATTCTGGCAAACACTGAAAAGACCGATCTTCAATAGGAGATGAGATCAGAGAGAACAAATAGGCTTTATCTTGTACCATAATCCTGAACTATTGGTAGTGGATATCCAAGGGCCATGTTGAGAGTCTGAAATAGAGCCGAGGAGGGGCTCCGGTGAGGGTGGAGAGTTGGATGGATTTCAGCAGGTGGGGGTACTGTGATCACACAGTGTGGAGGAAGAAGGGGAAAATACCTCCACTTGCTATCTCTAAGTTCCATAATTTTAGACTAGGAATTCAACTATTGAGTATCTTGGTTTTCTTATGAATAACTTGGAGATAGTCTCGAGTGTGGTAAAGACAATTTGCAAAGTGGCACATTTTTCTTTAAAACTGTAACACAATTCCTGACATATGATCACTAAGTATGTTTCATTTCTCAGTTTCTTCCCTGCCCTCCCTCCTTACTGGAAAAAGGTAGAGGAGCCTTTAAAACAGAAAGAAAAAAAAAAGATGTGACATTTAAAGGATACATCCAGCAGGCTGATCATTTCCCTGCAAGTGTTGATGTTAAATCCATCAAATTTCATGCCTGTTCCTAAATATTTAAAAAGAAAAGAAGGTGGGAGTCAGGGTTGTTTGGAGACAGGGAAAATAAATGATCTAGGCCGTAGGAGACTATCAAAGAAAGTACTGTTTCAGTGGAAAAGGTTCGAGCATCATGGGAGACTCAGGACAGATACCACCAGCCTCCTGGTACCCTGGGATGCACAGCGTTGACCAGTACTGCACTGCGTCCAACCTCATAACCTCAGCTTTGCTACCCACATGTTTGTGTTTATAAACTTAAGTTTCGCTTTCCAATGGAAATACAGTGGTGGTAATGATGCTACTTGCAGCCAAGAACTGGTTGGGCATTGCGGTATGAAATGTGAAGCATGCTAAGTTCTTCCTAAAACAGCTCCACCGGGTTAACAGGATTCTGGGGTAAGCCCACCTACTCTCCATCCCAACCCCAGACCCTCCTTGGCTCTCCCTGTCACTATATGATCTGCTCTTGAGACTCCTTCTGCCTGGCAGATGTTATCATCATCTTCATTTTATAAACAGGGACCCTGAAACCCAGGGAGCTTCTACAGTTTGCTCAAAGTCACTGACCTGTAGGGAACAGAGCTGGGTTTAAATACAGTCACCTGACTCCATAGTCATAACACACAGTGACTCAATGACGCTGTCACTGTTAAGGCACAGGCATCTCTCTGGAGCTCCAGATATCCCTGTCCTCCACCTTCATCTGGTTACTAAAGACCTTGTAGCCCCCTCCTCCCCTCTCTGCTCTAAACCATAGAAGCAGAGAGCAGGAGGGTTGTCCTAAGCTAGGACACTGCTCAGGGTCCCATCTGTCTCTGGGCTAGCACGAATGCCCATCACCCAAGTCAATGAAGGACTTAATCCTGGCCATGCAGGGACCAGAACAGAAAGCGGCTGGCTCCATGCTGGCTTCAACGCCTCTGAGGCTTGAAGTAGGGTGCAGAGCCCTCTTTGGGGAACAGTTGGACACTCGGCCGGTCCCCAGGGCTGGCAGAAGTCTGAAGCTTTGAACAACTCAGTATAGGCAAGAACAGTCAGAACTGCCCCTCCCACCTACTCCCCCAAAGAATCTGGGTAAAGGATCTTCAGGCAACATTAATTTTGTAGGTGAGTGTCACATAAATCAAGCATAGCCCAGCTTCCTTGCTTTCAGGACTTACAAATAATTACATTGCATGTCAAGATTCTCAATCCTGCGGGGTCTGGGTACTTCCTAGTGTCTCATCTCTCCCAATGCCACCACCTCCCCAGCCTACAGGTCAGATACTCACCAGACAGAGTCTCCATCTCTAAGGTTGGAGGCAGCCTGAGCACCCCCCACCCAACACACTACACCTGGGGTACTTATGGCCAACCTCAGCCCCACCTGGAACCTCTCTCGGATGCCCGTGGACTTGCTGATTGGTCCCAGGGGAGAACTCACGTGTGGAAAACACTCCATTTAGGGCTCTCTTGAGCTGATTAGCAGTGATCTCAGAATCCTAGAAATGTGAATTGCGTCAGACCCAACAAGCTATTCCGTGGCATCCAATTAATATAGAGCTCCCTCCCAAGTCAGATTCCAGGTCCACCAGCCCTTTGATTTCCCAAAGCATGTGATATTTAGAAACTCAGCTTCCCCATCCCCTTTGGGGTCCTGCAGCCCAGAAGAGCACAGAAGGGCTAGTGGGGAACACAGAGAGACCTTGAGAACACAGAGAGATATCGATTGAACAACTTGGCACCTAGCTCCGCAGACGGCTGCCAGCCCAGCCTCTCGCTGTGTTTCATGGGACTTGCTTAGTCAGAGAACAGAGTATGACAAGTAGTGACAGCAGGAACTAGCACTAATGTACCACACACCCAATGTGCAGCATCATTAAATCTTTAACAAAGCTGCATCCATGGTACAGTTAAAGAGCCATGACTACAGAAACTGCTAGTCACTGCACACACACACAATGGCAGGGATCACTGTGCTGTAACTGCTTGGGGCTCACAGACACCAAGTGCCATATTTCCCACGTGTGGGGGGTGGGGGCTTCAATTCCACACAGGAGCACATTTCAGGCTGGAATTCAGATTCAGGGGATGAAGCAGCCCATGTGTATTCGGTGTGAACACTGAGCCAGAGAGAAGACGCACATCTTAACACAGAGATAAAAGATAAAGCCTCAAACAGGATGGGGGACAAGGGGCTCAGTAGAAACTGTGGGCTGTGAGCTGGGTTCTAGTCTAGACTCTGCCCATTTCTCACACTCTGACCTTAGCCTACTCAGTCTGGTCCTCCTGCACTTCTGCAGCCAGGCCCCAGCATCGCAAAGGTGAGACCAACATTGTACAAAGCAGTATCTCTGGTTGGTCTCCCTGGAGCACAGAGTGGTCAGTCCTAGAGTAACACCGGGACCCCTCTGAAAAACCTCTCCATAGGTACGCTAATCATTTGTCGACCAGGAGGAAATTGGATGCTCGGAGTTCATACTGGACCCTGGCTGTGACCTTCATGAGGTCTTGTGACCTTGGACCAGCCCCTCAACCTTCTGTCACTTTATCAGCGGAGGAGGGGGTGGGACCCGTGTCCCTTCTCCGTCACCCCTCACCCAGAGAGACACATACGACAAGCTTAGAAAGAAACCTACAAGCAACAGCGTTTTTCCCCCCTCTGGTGTTTCAGATGCATTCAATAAAACATGGCCCCTTGGCAGCTGAGGAAACAGGCCTCTGCTGGGAAAACACCAGCCTAGCATCGGCGTAGTAGGAAGTGATATGTTCTGTGGGAGCGCCGGCCAGTGGACACGCAGAGGGGCTGCTTGCAGGGCTGCTTTGCTCTGCTGCAAAGGTTTCTGGTGTACTTTGTGGGGATTTTTCCCCATCCCTCCCCAAACAGAAGGTTCCCCATGTATTCCTGGTTGTCCTTGAACTCCCAGCCTCAGACTCCCACATACCTAGGATGACAGACTAAGTCCAGAAAGTCTCTTGGTGCCTCCATGGGGTAGGAAGGCTTTTCCCTTCTCGGGGCCTTTGGTTTTTGTTGTTGTTGTTGTTTTTGTTTTTGTTTTTGTTTTATTATTCTATGACCCATCACGGATGTTCAGTTTCAATGACCCAGTGGGGACACACCGAGTCTTAAGTGAGCTCGGATTTATGACTGCTAAATAGCTGGGACCACAATGGACCCTGGACAGCAGGAGGGGAGGGAACAGCTGTGCAAACCCTGATGATAATCATATCCACACACATGCCAGAGACAGACTAAGATCCCACAGCACGGCTGGTCTCCAGTGGGCCAGGCCATGTGTGTCTCCATTCCCAGGGCAGGTTAACTGAGTGGCCTCCTGCTGAGGCTGGGCAGTTCCACCTCTGGAGGCTATCAATTTAAATTGGTCACACTGCCCTGGCTTTCTAGTCGGAGGCCCCATCTGACAGGACCAATTTACAAACTGAAAGGCTTTTGGCCGGACCCGGAGATTGGACTTTTCTATTTTCTCAAGTCAGTCAACGCAGGAAGGAAAGTGGCCCCTGGACAATAGTCACTCTCTCCCTCCCCAAAACACAGGAGAAGCCTGCTGGCTTCAGGCAGGATGAAGTGACAGATGATAGGCACAGGCTAGAGACCCAGAGTACCCAGCTTCGCCCTCTGCACTCCTGCAGACCTGAGGGAGTGCAGACAAGCGTGACCTCAGCCTCCTGCCGCCTGCCCGGCGTGGAAGGCACCAGCCTCCGCTCACCTTGCCTGCAAACTCCTCCAACAGGCTCCAGAAATGCTTGTCTTCTGGATCCACGTCACATGGAGGTGGCTGGAAAAGGAGACAGTGATGATGTAAAACACGGGGAAGCCCAAGCAGCCCATTAGCATGTACCGTGAGACTGTCCTGGGCCAGGCTTCCGTCTAAGTGGGGGCATGCGGCGGTGTGAAAAATGACCCTCACAGTCACAGGCATTTGAGCTCTTGTTTCCTAGTTGGTGGCACTGCCTGGGGAGGCTCGAGAGGTGTGGCCTTGCTGGAGGGACCGTGGGGCTAAAAGCCTCATTCTGCTTGCCTTTGGATCTCTGCTTTTGGCTTACCCATGGAGATGTGAGCTCCCAACTTCCTACTCCTGCTGCCTTGGCTGCTGTGTGCTCTATGCCTCCCTGCTGTGGTGGACTCTTATCCTTCTGGAACCATAAGCCCAGATAAACTCTCACTGCAGTTGCCTTGGGCACAGTGTCTTATTAAAGCGACAGGTAAGTAATGAATACGGCTGGTAAGGAAGGAAGCCACCCAGAGGGTCGGCAGTCCAGGAGGCTGCTGCCGTCCTGATCCAGAGCTCCTCTCTGAGTCTGCAGTGCCTGAATCTCTTCTTTGAAGACTTATTTAAACGTTAACCATATGTGTGGGGAGGGGGCATGCGCATGTGTGTGCAGTGCCCACGGAGGCATTAGATCCCCAGGAGCTGGAGTTACAGGCAGTTGTGACTGCTCTGCATGGGTGCTGGGACCACACTTGTGTCCTCTGCAAGAGAAATATACACACGTAACTAAGGAACCATCATTCCAGATTCCTAAGCCTTGAATTTCAGGTTTCAACCCAGAATCACTTTCAGATAACAACCAAAACAGACATAGGGAAATCTCAGGCTGGGTCTAGAGAATGTCTAAGGATTTATCCCAACAACTTCATAGGAATCTGAACTCCAGAAATCGTATAAAAAATGTGAGGCTGTCTATATGTGCTTTCCTAGCATTTGCACAGTCAAAAAAAAAAAAAAGACTAAAATGTAGTTAAGACCACAGCCTGGCAGATACAATGCAACCAGAAGCCAGTAGACTAGAGTCCCAGTAGACAGGCCGCTTACCGAAGCATCCCCTTCCTAATGCTAATATTAAACTACCTAGGACCATTTCATAGCGTCATTTTGAAAATCAAATGAGAGCTAATGTCAGTCCTTTAAAAATTACAAGCCTTTCTATAAATGCCTTTGACCGAATGCTTTCAAAATTATCTCTGATTGTCATCACCACGGAACTAAAAGGGCAAAGCTTCCCAGACAGCCTGAAGAGTTTCCAGAAACCAGGTCGATTTCTTCCGAAGCCATCCTTAGGGTAAGTACACAAAGCCCAGGATAGCCTAGTGACGCAGTAAACAGAAGTTACAGCGGTGGGAAGGGGGGTCTCATCCTTACTCACCACCTGTGACTTAGTGCACCCACTCTGTGAGGTTGCCTCTTCACTATACACTTCTCATACATGGGGGACTGAGGATCAGAGAGTTAAGCAACATTGCAGAAAGACTGTAAGAGCCAGAGGTTGGGGGAAGATGGCCGCAAAGCAGTAGGTATCTTCTAGACATGAGAAGGCTGACACTCTCATGAACTCACAGTAGCTGTGATTTACCTCCACAAACCTGCACAGGATGGAGCACATCAACATGCCAATGTGGGCAGGTGAGGGGTGTGTGAGCCCCTACGGCCTGTCTAAGGAGGTTTGGGCAGGTGATGGATGCGGATGGAGGGAAGGTCGGTTTTCTTCAGTCGTGGGGCCGTGGTGGACTGCCCTTGTGCCAACGAATGGCCCTGCTCCCCATTACAGGCAGCACTACTGTGCTAAGTGAGTTATGAAGGAGGAGGAGGAGGAGGGGGAGAAGGAAGAGGAGGAGGGGGGAGGAGGAGGGGGAGGAGGAGGGGGAGGAGGAGGGGGGAGGAGGAGGGGGAGGAGGAGGGGGAGGAGGAGGAGGAGAAAGATGAGGAGGAGGAGAAGGAGGAGGAGGAGGAGAAAGATGAGGAGGAGGAGAAGGAGGAGGAGGAGAAAGATGAGGAGGAGAAAGAGGAGAAGGAGGAGGAGGAGGAGGAGAAAGATGAGGAGGAGGAGAAGGAGAAGGAGGAGGAGGAGGGGAAGGAGGAGGAGAAAGAGGAGAAAGAGGAGGAGGAGGAGAAGGAGGAGGAGGAAGAAGAGAAGGAGGAGGAGGGGGAGGAGGGGGGAGGAAGAGGAGGAGGAGAAAGAGAAGGAGGAGGAGGGGGAGGAGGGGGGAGGAAGAGGAGGAGGAGGAGAAGGAGAAGGAGGAGGAGGAGAAAAAAGGAAGGTGGAGTCAGGGGTTGGAGGGGAGACATGGGGGTGGATGTAATCTAAGTATACTGCTGAAGGATGCGGAACTAAAACACAAAAGTAAACTGTGGAGTGTCAGGGGTCAGGGTCACACAGCTAACAAATGATGGACCACGATTCAGATGTCCTTCTCTACCATCTTCTAGTGTGACAACCAGAGGTTGCTGAATGAATTAACAAATCATGACTTGGAGATTTGTACAGGAAGAAAACACCCATTCTGGTAGGCCATGAGACTTCCTACATCCTATTCTCCCAGACTCCGGGGCTCTACCACAAGCTACTGATGTTACCATAAAACACAACACCCCATTCTCAGCCTCCAGGGCTCTACCACAGGCTACTGATGTTACCATCACACACAACACCCCATTCTCAGCCTCCAGGGCTCTACCACAGGCTACTGATGCTGCCTTCACACACAAGATGCACAGACACAAAGCCACACATAGGTTTTCTTAGAAGGAAAAAGTGACAGTCTCACACACATGATTTAAAGTGCCTTTTCGGGAGAGAAAGTGATTATATTGTTCATGTAATGCACTTTAAAGTCTAGTGGCAAGCCCATAAATTCTAGAGGGAGCATAATATGCTATTATTCTGGGGAGAAAATGTATGAAATTGCATTTTAAAGGCAGAGCCAAGTGAGGCGGTGCACCTCGAATCCCAGCCCCCGTGAGACAAAGGCGAAAGGAGTGGGAGCCCAAGGCCAGCCTGTGCTACACAGCAAGCCTGTGTCTCAGGCACATGCATAGCAACCCAGTGTGTGCATGCGGATAGATGCTGTCTGTATCAGATAGGGTTAGCGGGACAAGCCTAAGCTAAGTCCAAGCTTTTGTAATTAGTAATAATTCCCCGGGACATTATGTGGGGACTGAGGTCCTGACAAGAAAGAACTACTACAGCGTACCTCATGTGGGCTTCCAGCTACAGCATCCCCAATTTCCCTGAAATCCAGACAGAAACAAATTAAACATGAAAAAGCAAGTTTAGCCAGTGGTCGGGTTCTTTCAGAAAGAATTTCCTCTAATGGGAAATTGATTTCACATGCAGGATTTTCAGTTCCTGCTTTAAAATAACTCTATAGCTGAACCCCTAAAAGGAATCTTACACCTTCACTGCCCCAACCCACACCCCCACCCTGAAGTTTTCATCAGAGATAAGGGTTTCTGCTTGCCCCCAGACTATCCAATCCTGAGATAGCCCCCCATCTTACCCTAGGCTACTCCTCTCTCCTCTGAAAACCTCACTTCCAGACCCTCTGCTGGCCTCATGGAGAAGTGAAGTGTGAGGGGTGGGTACATGGCAGGATGTGTGTGGTGGGCACTGAGGATCTGTGGTATGGTATGTGTGTATGGCACACGTGGTATGTGTGCCATGATGTGGTATGGTATGTGTGTATGGCACACGTGGTATGTGGTACATGAGGCATGTATATATAGTTTCTGGGTGTCTATGTGAATATTATATGTGTGCTATATGTGTAGTGAGTATGTGCAGTGTGTGTGCGTGAGTTATGTATTAATGGTATGTGGTATTTAAGTATATGGTATGCATTATGTATGTAGTGTGTGGTATGTGTGCACATAATATGTTGTGGTAAGTGTACATGATATGGTATGTATATTATGTGTTTTGTGTATTGCTTGTTTGTGTTATGAATTTGATGCATGTGTTGTGTGTATACGTGATATACAGTGTGCATGCTGTACGTGTGTATATGTTTATCTATAGTGTGTGTATGGTATTATGTTGTGTACATACATAAGGTGAGGGATGCATAGATGGCACATATTTGGTATGTATATTGCATGTATTAGCATGTATATATATGTGTGTATGTATATACATATGAATGATGTGGGTTGTGTGCAATGTGTGTAACTGGTGTGTACTGTGCACATCCCTGCCGTAGATCTCATCAGCCTCTGTCAGACAGTAGGACAGCTGGTCTATAGGCCGTTGGTGGTTCTCTGTCTCCCCAGCCTTGACGTTTCTGGAGGAGGAAATTCCCAGTACCGTAGAGAAAAGAGGAGGCAGCAGGAGGCACACCCAGGGAAGGCTCCTGTGAGGTGTCACGCTTCCCAAACTTCCTCTGGAAGGACCCACCAGGATCCAGGGCCAGGTCCTCAGCAGCTGGTGTCTCCCAATGCTGCACGTCCACCTGTGGCCTAATTCAGAGAACACCCCCACAAAGTAGACTCACAGAGCCTTGGCCTTCTTCTCTGAGAACACCCTCAAGCAGAAGTCACCGTCCTTGAAGGGCTCAAAGGTGGATGGCACTACCAGGTACTGTCCTGGGGGCAGTCGGACCCGGCTGGTCACTTCCCGCAGGTTCATGTAGGTGCTGGAGCAGGCGGACGGCTGGCGACCCTGGAAGAAGTCCCGGCCCAGGTGTGCCTCCGCGTGCCTCTCCAGCTGCACAAAACAAGGGGCAGAGTCAGTTTCTCGTTGTTGTGCAGCCCAGCCCTGTTGAATCAGGGATTGCTCTCTGCACCTAAAGTGTAAGGATTGAGAGACTTTCAGTTCAGTCACAAGCTAGCTCACTGTGTCTCAACCATCAAGTGGATTGGGGTGCCTCCTGGGTGCCAAGCCCACTGAGGCTGTAGCCTTAACTGTGACATTGACCAGCTCCTCTGTCCTCTAGGCCTCCCCAGTAAAATGAAAGGTGGAGCTTGGGGTACCTGGTGTGGGCTTTGCATATTTTTCCTCATGATTCCAGCAGCCAACACTCTGTGGCTGTCTCTGTGAGGACAGCATTGACTCTCACAGTCCAGACCAGAGGCTGGAAGCTTCAACCCTGCTCCTCACTCGAAGTGCTCTGGGGGAAAACTGCAGTGACAGAGGAGGCAGCTGTCCAAACCCGGTTCTGTCCCTCCTGGCCTTCCTCAGAGAGGGTGAGATGCTCCCACAAATTTGTTGTGAGGAAGGGTGGGAGGGTGCTGCTGGTGTGTGACACCGGGTAATTACTAACTGCGGAGTGCTCGGAAAACACAGGTGCCCACATCATCAGCGCTACAATTAAGCCTTCCCGAACCTGCGCCTTCACCATCAATCTTTATATGACGCCTCTGCCAGAGGCGGAGCTGCAAGAGCTGAAACACCCGCACTGGAGGGGTCAGTGCCCATGCACGGTCACCAGCTCTGGATCTCAGTTCCGCTGATCGGGGAGAAAAGCGGGACCCCCGTGTCCCCCTGTCGTTGCCCTGGTCAGGATGCCTCGGGGATCCTGGCAACCAGGACAGGCACAATGCTTCAGATTCTCTCTGAAAATGTGTGCACCCCGGGCATAAGTGTGCTGGGGCATCAGCAGGGCCACAGCAGCATCTGAGTGTAACAAGGTCAATGTCTTTTGGTATCCCTGCCTGATGGAAATGAGGGGAGGGAGAGTCCAGCAGAAGGTGCTGTCCCTGCAGATGGGCGGCTAACTGGGCAGACATCTGGGCTTCGCTGGGCAAACAGAGTTTCCAGGAGAATCCAAGAGTAGAATCAGCCAAAGAATCCCTGCTTAGGAAGCCAGAGCGGGGTGGGACCTGGGGTCACTGAGGCAAGAGCTGGGTTTCAGAGACCCCATCCAGCTAGGTGTTGAGGGTCTCTGGCCTTCACATCTTCCCTTGACCTAACTCGGCTAGTAACAATGGTGTGGAAATCAAGCCGGCCCAGCTAAGGGTGATTCTCAAAAGCGTGAGGCTAAGGTCAACAGGTGAACCCTGCAGGGTGAGGCATGTACACATTGTTAGGCCCATCCCAGTCCTACTGAGCCAGACGCTGCAGATATGAGGCCCAGTGATCTGTGACTTAGGAATCCCTCCAGAGATGCAGACGCAAGTTCAAGTTTGGCCAGAAAGCTCTGTGACACCTGCAAGTCGCAGGATCTACACCAAGGGCACGTAGGGTCCCCCGGGGGGGGGGGGGATTCTACCACTCATACATAGGCCCCACACTCACATCGATGGGGCATCTCTGACGGGAATCACCATTAACCACACTTAACTCGGGTTTGGTTTCCATCGTGTTCTAGTAGAGGAAAGAATGCAGCAGACCACCCACCCGTCTGTTGCCTCCATGATAAACGGCATGCATTTGAGACCCAAGGGCCCAAAAGGCCAGTCATCTGCAATCTGGGAACGTAGCCTGGGCCCAAGCACACATCTGGGCCCTGTGGATCTACCCACCTCCCGGGTCAGGGTGAGAACCTGGGAGAGGAGAGGAGGCAGCAGCCTGTCACAGCCACTGCGTAATTAGCGCAGCTGACTCCAAGTCAAAACCCAGGCGTGGCTACACACTGGAGTTGAGGGGCTGTTTATAAACCTACGAGGCCTGTTTTCTCCTGACCCTAAGATGCCGCTATAACCTGCTGGGATGGAGCCTGTACACTGCGATTTTTAAGACGTCCTAGGCTGCAGCTGAGTTGCTCCTGGCCTAGCATGCTCCGGGTCCTTGATTTGTGCTGACTGGGCTCTTCTGTGGGGCCACGCAGGTCCCCTCCCAGGAGTGCTTCCAGGCTCCTACCTCCAACCAGCGGAGGGGTGGTGCCTCTGAACAAGGGGATCAGAGAGAGCCTCAGACCACATGGACACTGCTAACAGGATTCCCTAAGCGAACTGTGAATTACTGAGGAACACGGGACAAGCCAGAGCAGAGGGCGAGGCTGGCAGCTCCCTTTCTAATCAGACACCAAGGTGTTTGTTTCTGTTGGCCAGACAGGAAGGAACCTACAGCGCGCTGCAGTTGCCTTAGTCAGACCAAGCCATCATTCACACAGGGGCAAGGATCCCCACTGTTCCCTCCCCAACAGGTGGGACTCGAGCTTGTTTTCACTGGCTGTCAGGGCTACGGGCTCACCCGATCAAAAGACTATCCACAGGAGAGCCTGTCTCCATTGCAGGAAGGTGCCGAAGGCAGACATGCCCTCTCTTACCCGGTGAAGACCACCTCTGTCCAGGCGATACTCACGTACCTCCTTGGGAATCTGCAGGGCAAAAGAGAAGACAGGTCGCCAGGGAGCTCAATCCCCTCCCTCTGTGCATCAATCCCTGTACCTCGCAGACGGACAGACCACAGACCGCAGCACACAGGAAGTTCCAGCCAGAGTGAAAGGGTGGTGAGCATCTCTGAACTGGAAAGCGATTGGTGGGTTCAAGGCCATAGGCAGACTGCTGAGTCCTAGAAATCTGGGGCTGCGGAAGCCCCTACGTTTTACTCTGTGTGATCACCAGGATCTCCCAAGTACTTCAAAAGGCTTCGTGTTTGAGTTTAAACTAGATTCCAAGTTCTTCCCAGACTTTCTACCCTGGCCTGCCAGATCAAGGATTTGGCTGGAAAGAAAATTCTACTCAACTTAAGTCACAGTTGATCCTGTCTTCCATCATAGTGGCCTAAACTGGGCCTATAGGGGATTCCTGCAAGACTTTTAAATCGGAAGTAAGGAAAGGGACCCCTTCCTTTACGCTAGTGATGTGGGAGAATGTCACTGGCATTAGAGAAAGGGATGTGGAGAGAAAGTGTCCTGGTAGACTGCCTCCCTCACCCCAAGCATCCTTCCTCTCCGTCCTTGGCTTTGGTTACATGAGGTAGTGAATTCTCTCTCGCTGGCTCTGCTGCAGCTTTCTTGGGCACAACTGAAGACATCAGACCATGGAGACAAGCTCTCAGACCCAGAGGGGGAGTCCTGCTATGCCCAGGGATCGTGTGTCAGGCTAGAAAAGAGAACCGCAATTCTCCTGTGGCCCCCCCTCTGCCCCTGCCACACAGGCTGTTTGAAGCAGAGAGAATTCTGACAGCTTAGGCCCATTGTGCAACTGCCTTCCACTCTGATGAGAAGTGAGTTTTGGCTTTCTCTCAGCAAAGCTAGAGCAGCCAAGGGATACGGGCACTCCTCTAATTTGGAGTTTAAAACACAATCAGCCACACAGAGGTCTTCCCACCCTCAGGAGCTTCCGTAATTACTTTGGCCAGCTTTCCCTCAACAACCTGGACACTTCAGACAAAATGCCCTGAGTCTGCCTGGCTTTGAGTCCCCTGGGCCAGACAGGAAGAGCCACTGCCCTGTGACACTAGAAGGGCAGTCATCTGTGAAATGAGAGATTCTGAGTGGGTGACAGGAGGAGGACTCTTTAGCCTGCAGGGGTGCCTGGTACCTTCTCAACTGGTCACAGGTTTTCAACCTCAGGCTAGAGCTCAGTTTCAGACAGTTACCGCCAGAGAAGGGAGACACAGGCAGGGGTGGAAACATGATATCCCTACTATCCAAGCTACTCCCCACACCCTAGCTGCTCCCTGCAGCTAAGCTACTCCCCACTCCTCACCGGGGCTGCTCTCCTGGCCCCAGCTGCTCCCTACATCCATCTCCTCAATTTGACTTTAAAACCAATCTGTTCGCAGAGTTCAAACTCTAAGTTATATGCTTCCAATGACGAGAAGCAGGGCCGCAGATCACATACCCTGGAGTATTTTATAAGCAGCTATAATCTGATACATGGAACTGACACGCTGTGGGTATTATTTATTGGTGCAAACACCATACCACACACAGTTATTGAGAAAGAATGTTTTGTTGATCTGGAACAATGAAACAGGCCTGACAGATGAAGCACTGGCCAGCGTCCCTGAGTGGCTCACCCTGTAAACGCCCCTGCCAACTGTCTAAAGCAGTCACTAAGCTTTAAGCTGTCAGGGACAACATGGCATGCCTTCGGGCTAGAATGTTCTCTCTTCTCCACCTTTTAAATCTAGGTCATCTTTTGAAGACCTGATTAAAGTCTCCCCCAGCAATGACACTAAGGAGCCCAGATTGCTGTGGTCATACCACCATCACAGGTCTCCCCCGCCCTGTCAGCAACTGAGTGTGTTGACTGTCCCATTCCTGATTGGGTGCACCCAGAGGACAGTAACTATGTGCTATTCCCCAGTGTCCCCAGATTCTAGCTCTGCACATGGCACAGGGTAGATGCTCGGGCAAGTTTGTTGTGTTGGAGTGCGTGCAGGACTATTATCTCTGAGGGTGGGTTTGCAGTATTTGTGATAGACAAGGCTGGAAGAACTCAGGTGGAATAAAATGGAGCTTAGCTACTTTTGATTCTTCTCTCTTGCCATTAAGTAGCAATTCTTTCAAAACTCTCACTCTTCTAATTACACACACACACACACACACACACACACACACACACACACACACAGTGTTAATTGCCAACATGATAGACTCTAGAATCACTTGGAAGATAAGCCTGTGGGGTTGTGTAGGATTGTTAATTGATATAAGAAGGCTTGCCTGCTGTGGGTGGCACTATTCCCTATCTAGTATCTTGGAGTATGTAAGTTCAGAAAAGGAGCTAAGCTGTGCAATCACCACTCTCTTCCTTTGCAGACACAAAATGACCAGCTGCTTCAAATCCTTCTCCCTTGACTTCTGGACATGGTGGGTTACACGTTGATCTGTAGACTAAAATAATCTCTTCCTTGTTTTTGTCAGTATAACACACACACACACACACACACACACACACACACACACCCCTGAAACCCTAAGTTTAAGAATATGATAAACAGATCTGGAGGAAGAGATATGGGCTTGGCAACTGAATTTTTCCTTGTTACAGAATTTGTTACAATACTTCTTATTATAATGCTTATTTTATGTGCATTAATTTTTTACTGAGATGTTGGGCCTCCCAGCAGATCTGGGTCTTCCTGATTAGAATTATATTTTTAACCAATAAATTCACTTGCAATAAAACCATACCAAAAAGCAAAAAACTGAGGCTCCATGGAATGTTGTATGGAGTCTTCGCCTGGGTAAAGAAGTAGTCTGTAGCATGGTCCTAGCTATATTGTCAAGCCCTGAAGACTTGATTTATTGCATCAGGGAGACAGAGTCCACAATAGGGTAGTCATCGGAGAAGGCTGGCATCCTGAACCAGGGACTGAAGCCTGAGACAAGAATTGGCTGTGTTCCTCAATCCAAGACTCCAGAACCAACAAAAGGCTGCATCATTCCTCTTACCCTAGCTGGTGCCTTGTGTGTTCCAAGTGACTCCTGTGGTAGGAAGAAGGGACTGTAGACATTTGGCTTCTGTATCCAGCCACCTTCCCCCCACTCTGAAATGCATTTTATTGCTCAAATGTATTTTACCCTCCTGTTCTGGGCTCTTGTCCCCTGAGATACCCGTTCTTGGAAAAAAGTCTAATATGCACATTTGTACTGAGTTCTCACTGACAGGCAAAGTGTAATGAATTGCATATCTCAGTGTTAGCTGCAGAAATTCCAGCCACACGGATGGCTCTAATGGTGGAATCCAAACCTTGGTAAGAGCTCTGGGGATGTGAGGGAGCAAGGAAAGCATCTCATTAAGAGTATTTGAGCAGTAGGAAAGATGCACCCCAACTACTGACCGAAACATCCAGGTCAAAGACACACGTACACCCTGATGGAGGAGCCTGACTCACTGTACCTGGTAGATGGCGTAGCCTATGCTGAGCATGTCCTGGCCGATCCTCTTCTGTCGTCTGCGGTTCTTCTGCATCAGACCCAGCAGCACTGTACAGCAGGCTTCGCTAGTGCCCTCTTCCTGGTCCTCATCCACCTCATCCAAATGGATTTTGAACTGGGGGTTGGTCCAGTAAGTGGCTGGAAGGCATCCAGTGACAATGGTGGAGATGGAGAAGGGAAACTTTAAACAAGGAAAGAAGCCTCCATTGTCCCAAAGAAAGAATAGCACTGACCAGACTGCCTGGCACAGTGGAACTGGAAAGCAGCCCTGCCACCTCCCCATGCCACCCCACAGGTAGATACTTAGGATATCTGTCTTGTCTGCTTGATCAACAAGTAGCCCAGAACGGTGGTGAAATCTGAGATCCCGTCATCCCAGGCTGCACTGGGCTACATCAGGAAGCCACATCTTGCCTTCCTAGAGCTCTCTCATTTCTTCCTGCTCTTAGCTGAAGACTCCACTTGGAAGGAGCTCTTTAGGGAGAAGTGTATCTCTGGGATGGGTGACAACTGAGTCACGGAAGAACCAACGAGGCCTCTGCCTGATAGCTAGAAAGTCATCTGACTGCCGTGTGCTTCACCAAGCCCAGGAGAAGCCCCAGCTTTGGATTTCAATTCCATGAGGCCCAGCCTCTATCCCACAACCCAAGGGGCCTCCCACGATGCCCAGTGTTGCAGCCTACTGACGAGACAAGCCCTTCATTAATGTGAGAGAAATGACAATGTCATTAAGCATTCCTGCCACACCACCTGTGGATACTTAGAAAGACGCCTGTCTGAGCCGGGGAGGTTTCTCAGTGGGTAAGGGGGCTGCTGGGCAAGCAAGAGGACCTGAGTTCAGATCCTAGTACCATGTCTAAATGTCAGTCGTGGCTATGCATGATTGTTGGGGGATATTCGATCACTCTGTGATCCCTGAGTTTGCATTTGCATTAATTAAGTAAAATTAACCTTTGGTCAGGAGGCTGAGTTAGCAACTAGTTAACAGAAAATATTCACAGGGCCTCAGAAGGCATCCAGGAGAGACAGAGACATAAGAAGTAGTAGGGTGGGTTTGGAGTGGTGCTGCCTTTTCTGGTTTGGCGAAGCAGAAGCATGAGTCTTCCTTGTATGTCAGCAAGGAGAAAGGGTTAAGTGGCTGTTACTCAGCCTCTCTGAGCTCACAGGTTTTCACCCCAGCCTTTACCTCAAGTATTATCCGTAATTAGAATGATAGAAATTTAGTTGAAGCTGTGTTAAGTTGCAGCAACAGGGCTGGTGCCTGCTGGAGCAGAATTCTCACCAGGCTGCAGCCTGAGCAGCCAGGACACTGCTAGAGAAACAGGCTGGTAACTGCAGAGTTGCAGTTGCTGGCTGAGATAGCAGTAGATTAAGGCGCAGCCACTGTGTCAAAGTTAAAACAACGTTTGGTGCCCAACATGGGGCACATATTGCTACACGGGGTCTGAGAACGCTGAAAGGAAAGGAAAAAGACATGGCTTCCTAGTAGCCTGGTGTTTGTGGCATACAGGGGTGTGACTCTGCCATACAGCAAGTACTTGAGCAGTCAGCATGTTAAGTAAAAAACAACAAGCTAAGAAAAACGCCTGCCATAATGCAGGCCCCAAGAGCTGGGGCAGTTAAGTGCAGCTCCCCCAGTTAAACACAGCTCTCAGTTAACTGCAGCTCTTGACCACACCCCCGGGGTATAAAGTCCTGCTCTCACAGACCTGAGCAGGGAGGAGCCAGCCACCAGCACAAAGCCACTTGGCAAGTTTAAGGTTTGACTCACATGGTCAGAGAATGCTACAGTTGTACAGTAAAGCAGGTCCAGATCAAGAAATACCTCTAAACTGATTACAGTGTGTTAAAAAAAAATGTGCGTAGGCGCTTAAGCAAAAGAGGTATAGACAGTCATAGGAAAAAATAGTTTAGAAATAATACTGTCTTTTAGGAGAGAGTAAACTCATATAAAGGAAAAGAGCCACGTAAAGATGGGAAATACACAATCTGGATCATGTATAGTGTTGTGTTGACTTTGATTTTTTTAATGCTATGAGCAAACCACAGCTGCTTAGGGACATTGAATTGTAAAGGGAACTGCTGAATTAAACTAGCCTAGATAGTGTAGGGAAGCCTTAACTTTAAAATAGAAGTCAGAAAATGTATTGTGTTAGGGAAGACAATATGCTTTGGTTTACATAAGAAATGAAAGGCTGTGGATTCCTTCAATATTAATAGAGATCAGGTTTTATTTGGGGAGAACTCCTGAAAATTTTGGCTACAGACATAAAGAAATAAACAAAGAAAAACCGCAAGACAGGTGACATATATATTGATCTCTTTGCATGGGAACAGTTCTGAGACTGAACAAAAATGTTACAACTAATTTCCCCAGGGCTTGACCATTGTCTCAGTTTTTTCCCTGGAGATGCTGTCATCCCCAGAAAACAGGAAGTAGTCTAAAGAACACACTACCCACATTTCCAAGAGGTGTGGTGTTGTGAATATTTGTAATCATTTAGGAGGTGATATAGGAATAAAGATTAAAAAGACAACTATTAACCTCAAATATTTTACATTGATATAGATTTTGATATATTGATACAAATTTAAAGTTATGTTTGTTATACTATATGTATGTTTCTACTCTTGTTTAAGCTATTGTACCTAAGCAGCTCATTTTAAAATGTAACATATAATTAAGAAATACAGGTTAGTAGTTAGTCATCTATAATAATCAAACTTGTAGTCGAGTTAGATATGTTTTCAAGGTTAAACAGATAGATATATTTTAGATAGATAGATGGTCTTCAAATGCTTCAGAGACCTACACAATATGGCATTTAATATGCTTAGCAGCCTAAGTCTTTTCATGACAGCAAGACACATCCATTCCTGGCAGCACTAATCTACTTCATAAAAGGATATGGTGCCAAAGAGACTCCATATGGAGTTTGCTTTGATTGTGCCAAAGCTAGACATTTGGGCAAGAAACTGTCCTTGCCTTGACTGGTGACAGTATACGATCCGAACTGGACAAGCAGGACACAAAGGAAAGCAACTGCTGAACTTTGCCAAGACAAGGCCGGCAGTCCTTCAAAATTCTGGCATCATAGAAATGTCTGCCAGACATTCTAGGCCTGTAGGCCAAAGACTCATGCCCCAATGTTACAGAGAAACCCTGGGTGACTGTCCAGGCAGCCAGATGTCTCTGTCATTTACATAGTTTTGGAAGTGGCTTGCATTACACTTCCTGTTTACTCAGGTAATAGCATATCCTTCAGGGGTCTTTGATGGAGCTGAAGACTAGATAATTAGTTACAGTTTTCCTTAGTTATGATAGAAGGTAAACTAGTTACAAAACTCTGGATTAACCATGATAGAATAAATAATGGAGTATTTTTCTCTAAATTTGCCAAATGTAAATGGACTAGATATTGTAAATGTAATTCTTACCTAATTATTCTTATTATATATAGTTTTACTATCTTAAAGTTAAAAACATTTCCTTTTTATTTAGACAAAAATGGGTAAATGTTGTAGAATAGAGTTTAACTATGTAAAGATGTGTTGCTGCTTCACCTTGCCTGCCTAAGGCACCTGATTGGTCTAATAAAAAGCTAAACATCTTGCCAGGCAATAGTGGTTCACACCCTTAGTCCCAGCACTCAGGAGGCAGAGGCAGGTGGATCTCTGTGAGTTTGAGGCCAGCTTGGTCTACAAAGTGAGTTTCAGGACAGCAAGGACTGTTTCACAAAGAAGCCCTGTCTCAGAAAAAAAAAAGTTGAATGGCCAATAGCAGAGGAGGGATAGGCAGGGCTGATGAGCAGGGAGTAAAGAGGAGCCAGCCAGCCAGCCAGCAGGCCAGACAGACAGACGCAGAGGAAGCAGAAAAGCAGGATAGTAGTAGATGAGGTAAATGAGGCTCAGAGCAGCACATAGATTAATAGAAATGGGTTAATTAGGCCAGATAGAAAGAAGCCTAAACTAAGGCTGAGCATTCATGCTTAAAAATAAGTCTCCAGTCATGATTTGAGGACTGGTGGTCCAACAAAGTCTGTAATACATGTGCCTGCAAACCCAGGTCTGTTGGGGGATACAAATGGGGGGCATGTTAGGCCTTGTTGGCATAGCTCTAGGTTCAGTTAGAGACCCTGTCTCAAAGGCATATGAGACAGAGGGTGAGACAGCATGAACAAGAAGAGGTGAAGTGCTGTGGAATCATCCTCTTGTACACTGTAAAGATTTGTCACTCGAATTGGTTTAATAAAATGCTAATTGGCCAATAGCCAGCCAGGAAATACAGGTGAAGTGACCAAACTAAGGATGATGGGAAGGAGAAGGGTAGAGTCAGGAATCATCAGCCAAATGCGGAGGGAGAAGGAGATGCTAATAAAGGCACCACCACATGGCAATGCATAAATAGAAATATGGTTAAGTGTAAGAGTTAGTTAGTAATAAGCCTGAGCTATTGGCCAAGCATTTCTTATTAAATATAACCCTCTACATGGTAATTTGGGAAGTGGCTGCCAGGAATTTGGGAACAAAAGGTTGGAATGAGAAACATCTGTTTACAGTGAGTAGGGGACAATGTGATCACCTAACATCTTCTGCACTCACAAACATACAAAGCAACACTACACACACACACACACACACACACACACACACACACACAAACGACACCTTTATTGAAAGACAACTTTTGAAAAAGATCTCTCAACTTAGTAACTACCCAAGCTAGGCACAGAGAAGCCTAAGGGATCTGCCACGGACACACAGCAGTTCTCTGATGGAACTGAGTTAAGAGTATAATTGAAGAAGGCAGGTCTGACAGACTCCACCATGATAGGCATTCAATTATAACAAAGAATTGAGGAGGAGTGTTTGTTTTCGGGTGAGCAGGGGTCAGCAGGTGTTTTGACAATCTTGGCACGATGGTGCAAACTCTGTAGAACGGCATAGCATTCACATATGTCCAAGGCCCATTCGTTATTTTTTCCCTAACAGTGAGAGTATTTATTCACTTTCTCCTTCCCAGAGCCTGCATTTCTAGACTTTTTTTTCACTCCAGGCACAGGTGTATATGGATTTTAAGATCAGGTGTCTGTGAATTCCAGGGGAGTCAGAAAATTCAGTAATCTTCTGTACTTACTTCATTACCACGAGGTAAGAACAATCCATTTCTTCCTGACAGCTAGCTGGCAGCACAGATGGGATTATGATTTGGTGTATGCAGATACCTTGAGCACCCCCTATGGTTCTGAGCTTCCAGAATGATCCATGAGAACTTCCTATGCCTCTTCTAAAAGCTTGTTAATGTTGAGCATATTTTAATTTCTCCCAAATGCAGCATTACTGCATTCTCTATATTTTTTTGTTTACTCCTTAACAGTACTAGAGGAAGAGAATGGGCCATAAAAATAATGCATCCCATTTGTATAACACTGCACAGTTTACAAAGCGCTTCCCCACGCACTCCGTGCTACAAAGCTCACTGCGCCCGAGCGAGTCGGAAGGTAGGAATTATGAACCATTGTGAGGACTGAAACACTGAAGCTGCGGGAAAGGTGTGCCCCTCAGGCCTCACAACCTGCAAGCTGACTAATGGGGGCGGGCACACCACCAGCTCCCCCGTCAGGCCCGTCAGCAGCTGGTCTTTGCAGCTTGATGGAGACGGATGGGAAAGGTAAGACCTTGTGCTCCCAGTCTGCATCCACACGGGGTTTCACAGCGCTGCCGTTTCTGGCTGGGAAGAAGGCGGCTGCCCCCGGCCCCTGCGTGGAGACACCGAGTCAATCAACACCAATCAACGGAGCGAGAGCAAGCCAGGGAAGCGTGCAGGTGGGGAACCAGCAAGAGGGGGGTGTGCTTCTCTGTCCTTTGCTTCTCCTGAGATCTGGGGGTAGTGACTGAGTTGTTTCTTCAGCAGCTGCCTCAGTGGACTTCGACCTAGGAGGAGTCTACACAAGTACATGTTAGTCATCTTGCTAGAACCAGGGAGGCCACTCTCATCTTTACGGAGCCAGAGTTAAGGCAGAAGCCGTGGTTTTCACCAGAACATCCCCACCAGGGAGAGAGCCCTGATGACCCCCACACACACACAGAATGGAACACGACCCACACATAGCCTGTGTGCATTCATTCCTGACCCCCTACAGCCTCACCTCTTCCGCTGTAACTCTGGCAACACAAAGCAGAATGTCTACCCTTCTGAGTGCAGCCCATGGAAACACCAGGTTGTCTCCTGACATCGTTAGCTACTCTACCCACAAGCCCAGTGGGGTGGTGTCAGTCAGCCCAGACCAGGGCGGGCAGAAACCCATGAGAAAACCAGGAGGCCTTAGTGATGGTCCAAGAACAGATTGGGAGAGCGAGGCAGGGGATGGGGGCTGAAGCGAGGATGATATGAGCACACAGGAGTCGAGACGAGGCCTTGGTACAGCTGCAAAACCACTGTCCACCTTGCTGGCCCAGCCTCCAAGCCAGAGTAGAAACAGGACCTCAGATCCAAGGGCATTAATTATTCAAAGATCCAAGTTAAAGCCATGCAGCCCAGGGAGGGAAAGTCAGGAGGCCTTCTGCCTCACCTGGGTGGTTCTGGCAGCCCCCAGCTGTAGAACCTCTTGTCCAGCGGCCATTGAAGAGCACCAGGTTCCATTTGTGGACCTCGTCACTGCTCAGAGAGTCTGGGGACAGGTTGCATATCTCCAGTCGAGAGAACTGCTTCAAGAAATCCGAAAAGGACATCCTGAAGAACGGGGGGACCAGAAAAGAGGGAGTGAAGTGGGCTGGCCTGGAAGAGAGGTTGAAGGTCCAGGAAAGAGCTCTGGTCTTCCCGCAGCTGTGGGCTGGTCGGATTCCCTTCTACAGCCCAGTGACAAACAAACAGAGTTACCGTCCAAGTTTGTCACTGTGGTCAGCATCTCTGTTCCTAAGAATCTCCCTCCTGTATCTGCCAGCCACACAGAGTTGCAACCATGAACCAAAGGGATCCCCCAGGAGGGGATACCAGTGCAGCCCTGGTCTCTAGGCTGGATCACAGCTAAGCCCATCAGAGGCTCATTCCAAAGAAATCTTACCTCTTTCCCATCCGTCTATCAGACTGGAGTGGATTTATTTATAAGAGGGCCCAGCCAGCTCTGGGGACAGGGAATATTGTTTTAGGCTCAGAACAGTCAGACAAGCTGCTGGCCAGGCCATCTTGTGGGCACAGAGAGTTGGATTCCAACACTTTATACTTAAGAATTGAGAAAGAATTATTCTCGGACAAGGGGCCAGAGAAAAACAAAAGGCTCCATGTTAGGAACCTCATCGCATCCCTGGAAGTCCTAGACTGGACCTCCCGAGTACCTTGGGAAAGATGGACCACTGAGGGGACAGGCTTCTGGCACACAGCCTCTCACCAGAACTCTCCATCCTCTGCTCTCTTGTCCAGCTCTTCCTTCTTCCGGGGATCTATGTGATTCCACTCAGGTGCACTGCGGAGGGGAAAGTGAGCCAGAGGTGGTCACTGCTGAGATGCAAGCTGTGTACTCCAGCTGGATGCCCTCAAAGGACCACAAACAGGATGCATGCCCGTCAAGGAAAGAAGACAGGCTCGGGCCTGGTCTGAGGTAGTGTACCACTGGAAGAAGCCAAGGACATGGGCTTCTGCAGGGGTGACCGGGGCATGCAGCCGAAACGCAATGGCTTTATTCTAATTTTCACTCTCTGGGTAAGTTCCACATTCCAATTAAGACTCACAGACCTCTGACCGTAGGAACAAGGAGGTACTGTCACAAGGAAGGCAGGTACTCCTGTATCCATTAGTAACTTGTCACTCTCATCTCCTATCAGACTGGGGTGGATTTATTTATAAGAGGGCCCTGCTAGCTCCGGGGACAGAGACACTGTCCACTTCCTAAGTCTACGGCTTTGATCACCGGGCCTAGTTTTATGGAAATATCCTTGAAGTAATGTCACCCGATGTCCTGCTGGTGGCTTTTCTGTGGCCATATCCATGTACTTTGTTCAAATGCCGTCCACAAAGCTGCCTGACCTTTACAGCTTTGTGTTTCCCTGAAATGCATGGGCAGTACCCACATAAGGGAGCAGTGTTAGTATCCGTCCTAAAGACAAACAAAGGCCCTCCCATGAGCACACTCAGCAAAAGCCCTGCCCCTCCCTCCCCAGCCAAGAAGACAGCTGGGCCCCACCTCTCCCTCCAGGGGGCTTCTAAGCACTTGGGCAGCAGCAGAGTGTTCTGGGACTTCCTAAAGTCATCAGAACATTCATTTGTCAGTACTGAGCCCCGCAGTATGTCTGTGACAAGCAAAAGTCAAGGGATCTGATTGAGAATTCTAGACCAATCTAATCTCCCAGTTGGTTTGAATTTCGTCGTTGTTACTGTTGAGGTTTCGAACTTAGTAGCAAAAAGCAGGTGGATGCAAACCGAGTTCAGACACGTCACCTCAGAGCTTCTGTGTCCTCCTCCTCCTGCCAGCAGGGAAATAGCCCAGCCTGCGTCTCTGGCTAGTAAAGAATGTCAGGGACATGGATGCCAGAGTACAGCCACTCCAGGCCCTCATTTCCTTGGGCTGATTGCCCTTACCAGTAGATAGGTAGCCCAAAGAATGTCCCTCCACCCAGGAATCAATGCCCACCTAGCCAGTAACTCATGGAGTTAATGACACTCCCGTTCATCACTGCCCGCATGGGCCATGGCTCCCAGGATCAAGGTTTGCCCCAATACCTTTGTTCTTTCTTGGTACTGAGGGGAACAGTGTTTGTGGCAGGGAAATATCAGATTGTGAGTGATTGATTTTATCTTGTAGTACCCAGCGTGGTAGGCAGGAAATAGGTAAGCCTTCAACACTAGGCAACATTTCATGGAGCTGCCAAATTTCCAAGTGCCAAAGCAGAAATCCATAATCAAAAACTGCAGCGAAGTGGTTTCTATTTTGCTTTTCCCATCCTGGAACTATGGGATACTATTTCCATAGCACGCTGTGTAATAAACCGACATAGGGTCTCGTTGCTTATGGTCTGTGCTACATGACACCTTTATGCAGGGAGAGGCGAGCAACCTACGCATCACTCCAGGCTCCCGACCATTCCACTTCACCCCACGGGTTCCTCAGTCTGATCAGCTTCTCCGGGTGGCCACAGAAATCCACCTGCAAGGGCCACAAACGGGCAAATCACCACACTGTTGCTGCCTGGAGCACATGTCTGTACCCAGGGCATACAAAGTTTCAAATGTCTCCAAAAGACCACACTTTCCTTTTCTTGTTGTCCTTGTTTTTAAGCCTCTGTCAAATGTTTTGTTTTCACAAGCTACTAGAACAAACGATGAGTGAATCTACCACAAAACCAACTGTATATCTACTTAAACTTAGGTTTAGATTTTGCAGTTGATGAACTTGGACCCTGTTCTGATGCTGTTCGAAGACAGCATCCTACTACACACCCCCTTAAACAGTGCCAATAGTGTGGAAGTTAACATTTATTGATTACTTACTACTAGGTTAGACACAATGCTAAGCATTTCAAACACACAATTGCTTTAAACTTCATCATTTGACCTCAGAGAACTCAAGATTACCTAGTTAGTTGTATAGCTATCCCCTCCTCAAGGAAACACATTAGGCTTAGGAAGTAAAGGAAACTTGGGGACCCAGGAAGTTCCTAAAAGTTACAAGACTCACAAAGCCCCTCTCCATAGGGGCTGTACTGGGGACAGAGAATGAAGAATATCTATGTGCCTCTCCAACGTTATAAAAGCAGTGGACAGTTTCAGGGCAAACATTGAGTCTTCGTCAGGTGCTGCCTGCAAGTCATGTAAGGAGCCCCAGAGATGCAGTGTCCATGCGTCATCACCCATGCCGGCCTTCTGATGACACGGCTGCATTTGAGTCATCCCTGCTCCTGTAAGCAACCCCAGTACAAGCCCTGGTTCCCTGGGGTGGATCTGGGCGGAACTGTTTCTTTGATCTGCCTTATGTGCGGTGAGTACAGGCTTGCTCACATCTCTCTAGGAAAAGGGGAGGAGCCTAGCAGAGTGTCTCCAAAGCCTGAATGGATAAACGCCCTAGGTCAAATATGATCACCGCTGCTGTGGGGTTTGCAGGTGGAGCTTTCAAAAGATTAAAACCTGAGATAGGGTTAATGCGTTTCCTATGAGCCTGAGTCCATCTGGTGTGAGTTCTCATTCTCTCAGGACTGGATTGGCTGCTGAAGGTCTTATAAAGCAAATTCCCTCTTGTTTGTTTCTCTTCTGAATCTGTCCACTTATCCTTCCAATTGATGCTGTTATAAAGCCACATGAAGCTACCCAGTGTTAGACTTCCCAGCTTCCAGATGCATGAGACAAAAACAAACAAAAAACTATTTCTTATATAAATCATCCAGATTCCAGTATTGTGTTTCAGTAACAGAAAAGGACTAAGATACTAAGATACTACGTCATGCTACTATTTAATAAGCACTCAAATATGGTCCCCACGCGCCCCTGCGCACATGCTGACACATATACACATAAACAGGTCAGTCTATCATGTCTTTACTGTCATCATTTCCATCATATGCTAGCCCAGAGTTTCCTTACATGTTCAATTCATGCTAATTGGGTTGACTTGATTTAACCATAACACATTCAATTAAAAGATGTGGAGTGGGTGGTGTCGACATCTCAATAAGCAGCAAGAGCTGGAGGGCTTGGTGTGCGCCTCTTTCTGCACAACCAATGGGAAACCCGAAGAAAATTCATTTCTCAGTTGTAGCACTGTCTAGGTTAATGTATTTTACCTTTGTCTTATCATCCACTTATATCTATGCTTTTAAGTATAATCCAAATTATTAAAGTCTTATTTGAATGTAGGTAGACCATATGAAATAAAATCATGACTATTATAGGCTGTACTGGGGGCAGAGAATGAAGAATATCTATGTGCCTTCTCATTGTTAAATGACATCTTAAACACTGGAGTAGAAATCGTTTCTTCTGTTAGGGATTCCTATGTGTCTTACTGCTTTGCCTACACGAACGTTTGTTTAGAATACTTGTAGAATCCAACTGATGGTCCCTATAACTCACACCTCAGAAAAAACTTAAATTGATTGAAACCGGAGAGATGGAGTGAGGGTGACTCAGACACCGTCCCCTGGGAGGCTAAGAGTTGAGGGCACCCTGTGGTGAGCATGAATCAACAGCACATCTGTCGGGGCTCTGCATCCCGAGAGAAACTTGCCCTGAGTAAGCACAAAAGCTCAAAGGCAAGTCAAACCTTCTCAATGTGATCTACTTCTTTCCTAGAACACCCCAGGTTTCATATTAGCCCCTTCCTACCTCTTCCACTCCGGTAACAGAGTACGCATGACCCTTAACCAGTTTTTGCCTGGTGGTGGCTTCTGCTTCAGTCGCACTTGAGACCTGGTCAAGGAGAGAGTCCAGTCAGGGAGGCTGACCCTGACCTCTTTGGAGCCAGTATGGCAATGTTTTCTAAAAGTACACCATCCAACCAGGGCTCTTCCAGGCGGGAAGAGTGCAGGAGCAGCAACCACCCACAGCCCCATATCTAGACCCTCCCCTTAATAAGCTAGGCAAGTTGTATCTGGCTGCTGAGCAGAGCCTAGAGTGTGACTGAGAACATAGTTACACTACCTCAGAACAAAGCGAACAAACAAATGAAACTGCCCATTGTGACATCCAGAGAGGAAAAGAGAGCACCTCAGTAGGTAGATAACAACTGGCCCTCAGGCTGGTGGCTTCCAGATCTGATCCCTAGGGCCTCATAGACATTCCATACAGCTGTCAGGGCTGGGCCTTCCTCTTTCCTTCAGGGATCTCCAAGTCCATCAAATAGTGTCAACTGCCAGTTTGTTTTCCAAAGACGAAGATGATTTGGCAAAAAGATGACAAGTAGATAGGAACTAGGATTTGGGGGACGAGTCTGTGCTCTCATGAGGAGTTTAGCTGTACTAAAGCAGTTCCAACAGTTACTAGCAAAACATAACCTTAAAATGTGACTAACCCTAGTTCCCACCCACTCATTAGGTCTTCGCCAATTCCTGAACACTGTAAACCAACATGCCACCGGAGAAATAGAGACAAAGAGAAGACTAGAGGCTCACGTCAATGGAACAACCCAACAGGGAGCCGGCGCGGAGGGCCTTCGTGATGACGCGGTACAGAGTGCCTGGGGGTTTCCTCAAGTCATAAAACTCAGAGATGCCACCTGTGAAGTCTTCAAACCCCTCAATTGTGGAGCCTCCAGCAAGAGCCTCATAGGAACCATTGAGCCTGTTGAAAAAAGAAAGAAAACAAGCATGAACAACCCAATAAGGGAACCACAGGACATGGAAAGGGCCGATGCCAGGACACGGGCTAGAGGGTATGGAAAGACCAGGTGCTTTAGACAGACATCCCAGGACTCCACTGGGAACAGATGCTCTGGCAGCCCCTCTCCAGGCCTCCCACTCCCTTTCAAAACCAAAACCCCTTCCAGAATGGGCCCTGACTGCTTGGGTTTCTGGGTTGTCCTGGAACAGCGACAAATGGGGAGCTTTCCCTTGAGGCCGGGAGGGAACTGCTAAGGATTGCCCTAACAGAACGAGAAAATTACTGGGGTGTCAGAATAGAGTGAAAATAAACAAGACCAATTCAAAGGAACCTTTAAACTTTGAATGTCAGTCAGGAAAATGGCACTCAAGAAATGAACTGGAACTTCGTTGAGTTTGGTAGCTAAAAACATTTCCCTTCTTCCTCTTCCTCATCATTAGCATCATTTTAAACATTCATTCTGCCCAAATCTTACCTTGGGGTCTGAGAGAGGAAATGGCTAGAGAGACATTCTTGTGAGACACAGCTAGGGTCACAGATATAAAATGCGTTTATGTTTGTGGTGTATTGAAGATTGACCCAAGGCCATACGCATTCTTGTCAAGCACTGTATCGCTGGGTTACATCTCCAGCCCCAGAGAAGAGATCTAAAATTCCCAGCCCAAATTTCCATTTCTCTTCAGAGGGGTGCTTTCTGTGCAGCCTGTGGATGTCTGGATGCTGGGAAAACCTTGGCTATCACACTCTGAGTGGGAGGGAAGTGCGAGCCTTCAGGGAGGCCCCAGCGTCTTCCGGCTCCTCGCCATCTATCTCACTTACTTGGCATAGGCTTTCTCCAACAGAGCGCTCCAGAATTCATTGCCTTCTTCTGAGTGCAGGAAGAGCAGTTGTCCATCCTTGGTGGGGAGTCTGTCATCAATGACCACGTCCACCCACTCTCCATACTGCCAGAACTAAGGGTGGGAAAACACAGCACGGATCGCATGCGGAAGCAGAGAGAGACCCTTCAGTGGCCTCCTTGGATGGGGTCTCTACTGTCAATGAGCTAGTCTCCAGGTCTGTGAACCTTAAACGCCCTGGGAGGGCTTACAGCTCATCCACACACAGGAGATGCTGTGCCACCCAGAGAGCCAAAGCGGGTGACTGAGACTCACATCTCCTGGTCCTTAGTCCAGAGTGAGTCCCTCATGGCCCCGTGGCCTGGAGGAAGAAGGAATGAGGATGACTGGACAGATGTATGCAGGAATGGTTCTCAAACTGTAGGGTGTACCCAAATCTCCCAGAGAGATACTCTAATGTCTGTATTGGCCTCACTTCAGAGTTTCTGATCCCACACGTCTGGAGTAATAACTGAGAGACGAAAGTGGTGGCAAAGGCCCCGGGCAAGCCCTAATACCTGGAAATGGAAAATGCCTGCATAGTTCTTCTGGAAGCTCTGGTCCCTGGGGACCACCCGGTAAAGCAGCTTTTCATTCAAGGTGAGAGAGGCAATGGCTGCCAGAAGCCAGCAGTCACCTGCAAGGAATCCGAGGAGACGACAACAGCCGGTCAGGCCAGGCCCTCGCCGTCCCAGCCACTCCAGAGTTCACGCCTGTTGTAAACTGACTTCAGCTATAGAACAATTCCTGAGTGTGGGTTATGTGTAAACAACAGAAATGAATTTACCGAAGTTCAAGAAGCCAGCAGGCTCGGTACTGGGGAGAGCCGCTCTCTGTTTCTACTTCTCTGCTCGGTGCTGTGTTGAGACACGACAGAAAAGTGAACGGGCAAAGGGCCTGCTAATTCTCCTACCTCATTAGAGGAGCACTGGTGCCTAAGCCCTCTTCTTAGTATGACCACACTGGGCCTGGGGCCTGACCCTGGGTCTTGGAAGGACACAGTCAACCAAGGAGCGCAAGGCCAGTCTCCTTTCATGGCTGAAGCATACGCACATTCTGCTCCTGAGGTGAGCCTCACTAGGAGGGCTTCACTCAGCCTGGAAACTCTGTTCATCCCTATTGCTGTGCCTCCCTTGCATGCCGACCTCTTCACAGGGGCTCCCAATAAGTGGAGTGGAAATATAAAGAGAGAAAGAAATGTGTCCTTTTGTTCCATTTGTTGTCAACTCAGATGCACTGGGTTGGGAGAAACACTGAAGCTATTCCAGAGCGCATAAGGTATGAGAGTCAGTGAGTGACTGAGTGAGTGAACGAGTGAATGAGTGAGTGGCTGAGTGACTGACTGACTGACTGACTGAGTGAACGAGTGAATGAATGAGTGACTGACTGACTGACTGAGTGGCTGAGTGAGTGGCTGAGTGAGTGACTGACTGACTGACTGAGTGAACGAGTGAATGACTGACTGACTGACTGACTGACTGAGAGGCTGAGTGAGTGAGAGGCTGAGTGAGTGAGAGGCTGAGTGAGTGAGTGAGTGAGTGAGTGAGTGACTGACTGACTGACTGACTGACTGACTGACTGACTGACTGACTGACTGAGTGACTGACTGACTGAGTGGCTGAGTGACTGACTGACTGACTGACTGACTGACTGACTGACTGACTGAGTGGCTGACTGAGTGGCTGAGTGACTGACTGACTGACTGACGAGTGAGTGAGTGAGTGACAGAGTGAGTGACAGAGTGAGTGAGTGACTGACTGAGTGAGTGACTGAGTGAGTGACAGAGTGAGTGACTGAGTGACTGACTGACTGAGTAAGTGGCTGAGTGAGTGACTGACTGACTGAGTGAGTGGCTGAGTGAGTGACTGAGTGAGTGAGTGAGTGAGTGAGTAAGTGCGAGTGAGTGACTGACTGGATGGCTGACTGAGTGAGTGATGGATCCTTTCCCACTATGGCCTTGGGTAATGACAGTTGACTATATGATCTGTGTAGAGTATAATAGTCCTTTTATATTTCAGAGTTCACCATGAGAGCCTTGGTTACAACACCCTTGAGATATTGATTAGCATAAAATCATCATAATTTGAAGCAGAAGAAATGGAAGTCAAGAGAGGTTGTACATCCCAGGGCTTGATGTTGGTCACTTTGAATGTCTGAGTAAATTTAGAAACAGAAAACTCCCTTCTGTGTGAGAAAGACCTCCCCAGGCCCCGAAAGTGCTGTGGAATGCTGTCTCCAACAAGGTCTGTCAACAAGTCAACACACAGCACTAGGTAGACTCAGTGAGCATATTTGTTAAAAGGGGAGGGAGGGAGGAGAAAGCTCAGCAGTTAAGAGAACTCTCTGCTCTTACTGGGAACCCAGGTTTGGTTCACAGCACCCACATGGTGGCTCACAACACTCCTTAACTCCAGTTCCAGGGACTCTATGCCCTTTTCTGGTCTCCACAGGCATTGCACATGCACACACGCGTGCATGCGCGCACAAACACACACACACAGTGCACATACATATATATATATGTATATATATGCAAACTCCCATATTTATAAAATAAATCTAAAAAAGGAAATGACAGGACATGAAGATGAGAGGGGGTGTTGGGGGTGTCTGGGAAGAGTGGAAGGAGGTAAAGATGGATGTGATCAAGACACATTATGTACATACATGAAATCATCAAATAATAGATCAAAGATATTCAAATAGATAGACAGAGAGACAGACAGACGGACAGATAGATAGATACTCTTAACCTGTTCTATGTACTTTCAGATAAAAAAAAATCCTGGCAACATTTTAAAGGCTATCCAGGTCCTTTTCTAACTTTATATTTTCATCTTAACCATGGGGCTAAATAAAGTTGCTTCTACAGTCCAGGAATGAACACACTTGGTTTTTCACACTCAGACTGCTTGAGCAAGTAACTCAAACTTTGACCCAGGACCCATCTCTGAAGGTCTGTCACCACCAGCAAGAGTTCCATCACAATGTCACCACTAACCTTTCTCAAAAAAAAACCCAGACTGCATACCAAACTAATTTCATCTTCAGTATCCCCACACACACACTTTTTGAAGGGTTTTTCTGATTTTCAAAGTAACATCATCTTTACCAACAAGCGCTATCCCTCAGATTGATTACAGGGATCCAAGGTGAAGTTCAAAATGAGCATGGAGATGGCGTCTGTATGAATGCTTTGGGCTACATTACTCCATGCTACAGAAAACTTCAGAAGGGGTAAAACTAATTTAATAAACAACTTCTCAAGAGTGGGAACAGATTTCCTCCTCCCCTCAGCTCAGTTTCTTCCTGTGAACTCGTGAAATGATGTCATTTCTCTGCCTTTCTTTGCTTAGAAACAAAAGACACCTTCCCCAGGGCGACTCCACCCTACCCACCTGGTCTCTCTCCCATTGTGAGTTTAGCTTCCAGTCAAACATGCAAAGCACAGAGTGAACCCTCACCTTTTCTCCTGCCTTCCCTTCCTTATTTGTTCTGTCTGTACGGTGCTTCCTGCAACCTGGCCGCTTGGGTCTTCACCCTCTCCGCAAAGCCTGTCTTAAGGTTTGCTCAGACCGCACCTTGTTTGTTCCTTGTATGTCCTGGAGACCTTCTTCATCCCCCTCAGCTGGTCACAGTCATCGTGAGAGACGGACTCCTAAGTCCACTCACACGGAGGCTCCATGAGGGCACATTCCTTGCCATCCCTGATTAACCCCAAACCCCCAAGCCTCCCCTCCCTCCACGGGGCTCCTAACTACTGCCAAGGTCACCTGATACACCTGTCTCTCATCCCTGTTCTTCTCTGATCTCTTCCTGCCATGCAGGAACATGGAGTCTCTCCTGGTAACATCCCTGGCAGTAGCCCACAAATAGAGGAGAGCCAGTAAATTTTGACAATGATATCATGTCAGCAAAGGAATTCATGAATCATGTTCTGCCCCTTTGTGAGTCAGCAATAGCTCCCACACATGCTGACACCTGGCAATCCCAGGTCTGGGATGAAGCAAACAGGGAAGGGCCATGCATTGAACCTCACAGATCCCACAGATGACATCTGCTCTGCACCAAGATGCTTGGCTACTCAAAAGTCTGTGACAGAAGAAGACAGCAGGTGAGATGGGACAGTATGAGTGCTCTGTGGTGTCTGTGGAGCAGGTGGCTTCTCAAGGAACTCAGAGAGGCTCCCTTCTGTTGCGAAGATGGACACTCCCAATCTACGTTGCTGCAACACCCCCACTCCAAGCACTTCCTAGACATTCCAATAAAGCATGCCAGAAAATGTCCTTCTGTGGCCAATGTCTAACAGGCCCAGCCAAGAAACGATTTAATGTTTTCTTTCTCTTCTTCATTCCTGACATTTCACAGGTCACCCAGCTGCTGCAGTATGCACAAAGAAATGCCACAGGTATAGACATTTGGGTCCCTGCCAATCACTACATAAGGTGTGAGTGAACCCTCTCACAGGATACTTTTTCTAAAGTGCCCAAGTGAATGTGCTTGCTTTCAAAGGTAATCTTGGAATGGGAGACATTTACTTTCCTGCTTGAAACACATAAACACTTGTTTGAGGGGCCTGCCTTGATCTTTGAACATAGTTTTGGTTCACAAAAGCAGCCATGAAGCTTTGGGATCTATGTTTGTTGACAAATGAGGAAGACAAGAAAGCCCGGAACTGTCTTCACAGACAAACATCTTCTCTCCAGCCACCTCCCAGCTAGAGGTCACCACGGATTAGCATTCCCAAGAACTTTAGTGAGAACTTGGTAAAAACACCCACTTTCCTGATGGAGTGTGGTAGATTTGCTACCAGAATCCTCCTGCCCCCTGTCCCTCCCACCTCTGTCCTCTCACCCAGGAAGTCGCCTTATACCTGAGATCCAGAGACATCTCACAAACCCAGGGCTACCCGTGAGATGAAAGTCAACACACTTAAGAGAACAGAAGCCCAGTGTGTGTCTGGGTTTCTCAGAACTAGCCCAGGGTAACCCACCTCCCGACTCCTATCACAGAAGAGTTATCAGCCTCTTACCACCACTTGTCCAAACCATTATGGTTAGGTTCAACAATCCTTGCAGCCAACTTTTTCCTGATATAATAACAAAGTGATCAGTATGCCTTGCAAATTGGTTCTGAAAGAACTGCACTAAAGGAGTTCTTTAAACTATCAGGGATAGTTGAAATATGCACATTGTTCTGTACACTGGCTGGCCTGGCTGAGTTCTGGGGATCCTGGCTAGGGATGTCCGTCTGATCTCCACAAAGGATCCTGGAATATGGAATTACAGAGAGTAACATTTGCATGTGGACTTCAATGCACGGAAACAGGGGTGAGGAGCATGCTGAGGGAACCCAGGCCCTCCCTCAACCCCAACAAGCACAGAAAGGATGCTTCTGTGAGGGACTGTGATGGTCACTTTCAATTGTCAATGTGACAGTCTAGAATCACCTAGCAAGAGTCAGTGAGGAACTATCTAGATTGGGTTGTCTGTGGGCATGCCTCTCTCTCTCTCTCTCTCTCTCTCTCTCTCTCTCTCTCTGTGTGTGTGTGTGTGTGTGCCTGTGCGTGCGTGCGTGCGTGTGTGCGTGCGTGCGTGCGTGCGTGCATGCGTGCGTGCGTGCGTGCGTGTGTGTGTG